AGGTCCCGCTCCTGCCATCTTGTGATTGTTCTCTGACGCCTCCTACAGAAGCTCTTAGGCGACTGTACAGCCCACTGAAGCCACCCTGTACCAAGTCTATGCCCTTGGGCTCACCAACTGAGCTCGGGGCCGGTGGCACGGTGAAGTCGTCGAAGGTGGTGAGCGTGTCGGAGCGCGATGCCTGAGCATGCATTTGGTAGAGCGAAGGCGGCTGCAGCGAGCCCCGCCGCGAGTCTCTGGACATGACTGCCGTCAAAGGAATTGCAGTCTGCGGGTGCAGTAGGAAGTATCGAGTGTGTCCAGACGGATCGGCGTCCGACAGTAGTCTGTGAAGAACAGCATCAGGCTTCAGGTGGGATCATGCCTAGGTAGTCTGGCGGACAGCGAGGTGGAGTCGAGGACGGCGGATGATTCGTTACACGTGTGTTGCTTCAGCTTCATGGGAATGAGGAAGAAGATTCCAGGCACCGACAGTAGTCAGCTACGACGGCACTGGCGCCCGAAGCATCACGAGGTGCATACAGCTAGCTAGGCATGCAGGAAACGCGGCGGGCCATGACGCGCAGCCGCCAAGGAATTCCGCTCGCTGTTCCGCCCCCACGTCCCTCGGCATGAGAGCCCTACAGCCTGAGATGCAGCCGCCGTGAATGGCGGCCCACGAGCAAACGCGTGTGGCTGGACGAGTGAATTATCAGCCGCTGTTCTCTCGTAGATAGGACTCTATTATGTTCTCTCCACAGCTCCCCACACGGCTTGTTGTTCCCCCTCCCCGCACATCTCGCCGGGACCAGAACGCGTCGCGTCTCCCACCGGCGCCTCGACATCTCATTGCATGGCCCCTCGCCTCAGCGCCTGGCTTGAAGAAACGTTCGAGTCCCAGCTGCTGCTAGGCAACCAGTGGCTGCAGGACATATTCGAGAAGAAGCGGTCTGGGGTTAAAGCGCAATTACACAGGCAGTGGGACGTGTACCACGATAACGGCTCGTCCCTGGATATCATCAATTACGTCCACTCGGACCGCAACAGCGCATTGCTGGTCCTCAAGGCAGGTGATACTGCGCCATCGCTGCTGCCACATCTAACAGAACTTGTACCAGGTCTCGCCTCTGACACTTACCGACGGTCAAGTTCAACTCCTCTCCCAATTCACGCCCGACTGCGCTCGGAACTTCCTCCAAGAATTCCCCGCGCCATCGCACCTATCCATCGGCACCACAGTAGCCGTCCGCGCTTTCACTATCCGCCTCACCTCGTACGGCCCGCCACGCGAAAGACTGCGCTTGATACTAGATCGGATCGATTGGCTGGGCGATAACTGCGAACGGGTACAGAATCTAAAGCGTGATAGTCCGAGGCCACTGCATGCTTGCAAGCAGATTGGTGTCTTGCTAGAGCAGCTGCGCTGTATTCGCGAGCGCGAGGACCGCCGATGCTTGACATCTGGTGCTGTGGAAACGGATCTAGAAGCAGTTGACGACGCTACGGCGGATAACATGGGTTCCGATGGGAATATGCCGCATGGCAGCGAGCTCCAATCACAGATGATGGGCACTCAATTGCCATTTGGAACACAATTGCCACTTCCATCCCGTCATCATGCAGGCGATGAGGAACCACAGGTCATAGGGGTGAACCGGCTGGAGCCAGTCCTAGCCGGCAATACTCAACGAAAAGAGATACGGCCAGGTACTGCTAACACCGACTACGAGAAACATCAATCACTGCTAGGTCTTCTCGGCAAAGTTTCCAATCCAAATGCCCGCAAACCTGGGGCGACCTCTGCGAACGGCTTCGTGCAGTCGGCTTTCGGTAAGCAGCAAAGTGACGATACGCCAACTGCAGATGAATCTCTTGAAATACCGTCAGATGCATTCCAACAACAGTCAAGAAGATCTGGACCAGAAGCCGGGAACGAAGATCCCGCATCATCTGTGTCCAACCATGGGAGAAAGAGGGTCAAGAGGGTCCCCGAGATATCGCCCGAGCCTGCAAAAGCTACCGAAGACGTTCGAACCGAGGAGCAAACGATTGAACAAAGCCTGATCGAGGATGACAATGAGACAATGCCTCCGAGCTCTTGGATGGCAGGCTTGATCTTCAACAGCGAGACACTAAAGGTACCGAAAATCCAGCGGCACTGTCTGGACAGGGAGACCAGTTGGCTGAAACCTCAGCCTGGGGTTCCGCCTTTCCAGGATGGAAACATGCCGCAATCAATACTCATGGCTTGTCACCGGATGGCTGACGAGAGAGCTGGCGCTGAAACTGAGGATGAATCGGACCCAGATCCGTCGGCAGAGACTGTCGATCCATCGCCCGAGTCTCTGCTCCAAAAGACGCAAAATGATGAACCTGCCATTACCAAAAACGATAGATCTGCGAGGACGAAAGATGACGAGCCCGTGACTACTCAAGACGACAGTGATATAGATAGCGAGATATCCTGGGACACGTCCCCGGAGCCTCCACCACGTTCAGCAAAAGCCCATCAGGAGCTTCCTCCTGACTCAAGTATCGAGAAGCCCGCATCTCATTCAGAACACAATTCTGCGTCACAGCGAATCTCCGCGAGCAAGCAGTCACAAAATCGTTCTGTCGTTGAAATTTCAGATGACGACGAGCCAACTGGCCTATCATCCTCGCCACCCGTTCCAGCTGCACCCGCAGATTCTGACGATGAAATGAACATGGAAGAATCTGTTCCACAAGCCTTGGGCGAAGATCTTACACGGCACAGGAAAGAGACATCAGCAATCGGCAAGCTTCCAAAGTCTGATCCTCTGCGGTCGCCTGTAGTTGTTCAGGTCAAAGAAACTCGATATGGAAAAAGCAAGAATGCCCCAGGCGCCCAAAGCTCAAGCGGCGAGCCAAAACAACGATCATCTACCTCGATAGTTCATAGTACATACGACACGCCTAGTCTCTCTGATCTTGCTGAGCTTGGGGTTGTGCAAAGTTCAGGCGACAAGCACAAAGAAGTTGAAGAGCCTAGTAGTGTAGCCAAAAGCCTCCACGGCGATGACTCTGGAGACATAGAGATGCCAGACAATATCCCAGACGCACGAGATCTCAATAGCGAGACGGCTGCTGCACAGCAATCGCAACACAGGCTAGATGAACGGACGAAGCCCACATCTATGTTCCATGCAACGCCGAAATTTACACACTTATCCCCGGAAAACGATGGCGTAAGACCATCACCGGCAATACCCCACCTCGCTTTACAATCTACCAAGCGGAAGCTCATTAGTTCACCGACCAAGAGCAAACGTCTACAATCTAAGAGACGCGAAATCAAGATTGTTGGATTTGGAGATGAGGCTCCGTCTGCAATCGACCCAGTGGCTGCGTTGCTCAAAGAGCGAGACGAGTCTCTACGCAGATGGCGGGAGCAGCGTAACTCTAGCACAAGCTTTGATAGTCGACCCGAGACTACGAGCAGATTCACCACGGAAGATTCAGATGCAATGGAAATTGATGGTGCTGTCAAAGCGGAGAAAAAGGAGCCATCGCCTAGCATGTCTCCTCGGCATCAGGATCTACATGACGAGCCGAGTCCCAGACAAGTAAAGCTCGCTGCAAACCCGGCATCTCAGCCGCTTACAACATATCCTCAGTCGCAAGACCGCTCCCGTGATAATCGACCTCGTGGTCCCGTTCCAATAACGATGCAACCACCACCAGCATCTTCAAAGCAAGCAGACCAAGATGGTGCCCAAACCGTCTTCCAGTCCTTCAAAGCCGCGTATCCACAATATGATGGTGATGAGAAGCACTTCCAGAATCAATGCACGCAGATGTATCAACTGGAGCAGGAAGACAAGATGGTACCGAAATGGCAATGGGACGACTTCATCATACGCAACAGGACAGACTATAGGCAGTATGCCATGGACTGTGTCGGTCAAGGAGAAGATCCGGAGCCATACCATCGCTTCTACAAGAACGATATCCGCGATACCTTGTACAAAGAGGGCATTATTAAGAACACGAAGACGCTGGAAAGGGCACTGGAGGAGCTTAGTGGTGGTTCACCTGCAAAAGCAGTCGAGTCTAGACAGGCAGTCCAATCTGTCCAGAAGCCAAAACCAGCAAGAAAGTCACTCCCAGGTGCTTTCAACAAGCCCAAAAAAACCACACATGACCGCGTCAACAACGCCCACTCCCGTCCGCGCCAGTCCCTTCCCACAGACCCGCGTCTCCACGCCCAAAGCCCCCTCCGACCCACCTCACCCTCATCCGGATCCTCATCACGACCCCAACCACGCCCATCAAACCCAACAAAAGGGGTCCCCTCTACAACCCGGCCTACACGCCGCCCTTCCACCAACAATCCCCCTTCCAACACGACCAAACCAACTGACCCACCCTCTGCCAGCACAAGCACCGGCGACAAATACCGCGACTTCGTCTTCGGCATCCAACGCAGCGCCTCATGGACTGGCAGCACCAAAGTGAGTTCCACGCCCAAGAAGTGACAAAAAACCCGTATCAAGTCATTTGCAAGAGAACAATGGGCTAAGGTATGTTTGTTTTCAACTTTTTAGGTCGATCCAAAGAAACCATGGCCGCAGAGTCTGGCTGGTAGACCGAGTGTGGCTGATGCGCCGAGGACCAAGGTTGATGTGCTGGATTGGGGGGATGTGTTGGGGAAGATGGGGTGGAGGGGTGGGAAGTGAGGTGGTTTGGGATAGTTTGGATTTGGATCTTTCTGCTTTGCGAGGTCCGGGTCTGTTTGGATAGGGCTTCAGAGGATTGGAAATGGTTCGAAACGGCTTGGAACAGATGAGTGACATGTGTGTTGGGATATCCAGGCTTCTAAGCCTGTGATTGAGAGAGCTAGAATATGGTACCACGGGACATGGAGGCATTACTAGGCCAATTCGAGGAACTAGAGATTAGCGACCATCAGGGCTCGAGCAACTTTACAGATCCCCACGGAGCACTCATTTGTGAGGTAGTCGCTGAGAACCATGCGTGACATGGTCCGATTACCAAAATCATTACAAGAGGGTATATGCTCCCGTCTCGTCCATGTCTGACCTAATAACCAGTGAAAACCCATTGAACGCTTTGTTACCATACCATTCATACACATACCATACACATGCCGACACCACACTCCAGCCCTAAGATCCTGACGCCGACGTCCTCCACCTCATCAAACCCTGCAACCCGCTGACACCAACCGTAACCACCAGAAGCAGCGCATTGAACCCAGCCATCATATAAAACGGAGCACCAGGTCCCGTACTATCGAATAACGCACCACCGGCTTTGGTCAGCAGCAAGATACCAAAGCCACCCAGCAGACTGTACGTCCCCGCTATCGAGCCTTTGATGTGGTTATGCGATGAAGTTCGTCTTGACGCGGAGGCCGAGCGGGAGGATTGAATGTGTTCTGGAAGCAAAGGAGCGTTTTCGTCCAGAGGCGTGATGGGCGCGCTGTGTGGTGGTGTAGCGCCTGCGGATGGATGCGACGTTGTTCCAATGGATGCGGAGGCCGAGTTATGGAGATCAGTCGCGGAGCCATGTTCATCGTTGTTGATGCCACGGCCGAGCAGGGCGAGGGAGCAGACGATGGCGCCGATTTGACTGATGCCCAGTAAAGCTACGATGAAGAAGATCGCGCCTGTGCCGTCTTCGCTCTTGTAGTCTGGGCTCGTGAGCGATCCGAAGGCTGAGTAGCCTGCTATGCCAGATACAGCTGCTACTAGCAAGGGAATGTTGTACTGTGGGAATCGGCCGGAAAGGTAGCCGAAGAGGGGTGCGGACATGAGTGCTATGAGCTGGCTAATGCCTGTTAACATCGCTGCAAGTTTGTAGGCTTCGGGACAAGCGACTTTGATGTCTGAGGGAATGTTGGAATCGACTTTGCAGCGGCCTGTCTGTAAGAAGTAGTGGTTTGTGAAGAGAGGGATGAAGAGCGATATAGCGACAGAAGATGCGCGCGCGACGAATCCTCCGACGTAGCCGAGTCCAATGTTTGGGGAGGTGAAGCCGAGACGGACACTTTCCAGGAAGAGACGAGGGTACGATAGTACGACGTCGCGCGTCAGGTGAGAATCTACATCTTTATAGTCGCCTCTGCTGGTAAGACGTTTCCAGCCTTTCGCTTCTTCGCCAGGTAGTTGGCGCAAGCCGAAGAAACAGCCCAGTGCCACAAGAAGAGCGATGGCTCCTACAACGTAAAAGGCATCTGCTACCGCTGTTGCGGGACGCTCGCCGGCATTCTGAAACTGTGTTGGCAGAGGTAGGAAGACGAACAGTGCGACTAGAGCGCCGCAGCCTGTAAACATGCCCACCAGACCAGCAAGCTGTGACGTAGATGCGCCCGAACTCTTTCTCGCAGGTATGTCTTGTGTATGATCTTCCGGAGAGTTGGAGCGGAAACGCGCAGGCGTAATAGTGAGTTCGGACGATATCGAAGCAGCTGGCGCATGCGACCTGCCACGACTACGCGTCGGCGATCGCGGATCGGGCTTCAAATCCTTGACGAGAGTCATTGAGGGCAGAATCGCTGTCACCATAGTCGCGCTATTCAAACATCAGCATCAATATCCTGTGCAAACAGCCCAACTTCTCGGAACTTACGTGGCACTTCCACCCAGACTAAACAGCACTCTCGCAAGCAACAGCTCCGGATACACATTCCGCGCCTGCACAAGGACACATAGCGCAACACCTACAATACTGTATCCCATAACCGCAACACTCCTCACACCCACACGGTCGCTCAGCAATCCCCACGCTGGACATGCAACAAGCGCTACCAGCTCATCCACAAACCCCAGCGTGCCGACTGCATCGCCGACATTGCGCGACTGACCAATGCGCTGTGTAATGACAAAGGATATAGAGCTATTGAGGAAAACGAGGAAGCTTATGCTGAAGAGCGCCACGCCGAAGAGGTACGATGCGATCTGCGTGCGCGTGGCGGTGAATTGGAGACCGAACATGATTTGCGCGATTCGTGCTCGCGGTGAGCTGGGCAGGGCTATCTTGGGCGCATTGGTGTGGTGTTTGTGGAAGGGCAATGTCGCGTTGCGGCCGTTCGGTCCGAAGATGCGTGATGTCAGAGCTGTGGCTGGAGGATGTGGCGGCACCTTGGCAGATTGGTCTCGTCACGTGTATAACGTCTTACCCAGAAAGTGTCCGCACTCAGCCCGAGGCCGTCCAGGCTGTGATGGTCAGCAACGAAAGAGCCATTACTAAAGTAAGCTACAACATGCTATACGTATTCGCCTGATGCATGCCATAATATGTCAGTTATCAGCTGAGGGTCTTCTTACTCCATTGATGATCTCGACTACTGTCAACGCATGCAAGCCGTGCCAATATTGATTACTGTTCATATTGAGTATTGAAGATCTGAACAAAGAAGACATGTGGTATATACCAAGGAAAGCTGCTAAAGGATGTCCAGATCATAACAACGTAGCGATAACGATAGCATCGCCTTACCCTGAGCCACGCGGGAGCAAGCTATAGCTCAACCGCACGTGAAAGGTCAAAATCCCTCCAAATGAATTATTATTGTCGCCATTATATGCCCATGATCGGCGCTGCAGGGTCAGCACCGGGTCCCCGCACAAGGGTGGATAAGCCTGCATCTGCAGGACTCGCAGATCTCGAACAGAGTGTCTCAAACTTTAGCCCAGCCCAAAGGCATATTACGTCCCTGATTTGCACCCCAGTATCCCCTCGCTTCAGGATAGTCACCGTTTGCGACGCCTTCCCTGAAGAGATCGCGGACTGTTTCTATCCGCACCGTGTCGCGAGGCTTGAGATCAAATTTGAAGGGAATAGGCTTCGCGATGAGCAGGATGGAGTAGTCTAGTGTTGGATCTTTGGGCTTTTTGGTGGTGTCGCCCCATTCCAGAGGCCGACTGGTCAGCTCGACAGGCTTTGGCTTCTCCAGTGTTGCGTCGTTCGTTGGCTTAGATCCAGGGCATGTGAACTTTGCAAGGATCTTTTCTGCCATGGTTGGCTCAGTTGTGTTGAGACCTGTGTTGAGTTCCTCACTTGACATGGTGGCCTTCTCATTCGTGCCGATCGTGTGTTCCGCCCTTGTAGGGCTCATAGCCGGCATGATAATGGGATCGCTCGATGGCTTTTTGATGTCGAACAACCAGGCAATAGCGCCGATGCCAATCAGTAGGTCCTCGTCGGCCACAGCTTGCCCTGTGCAAGTCCTCCGGCCGTACCCGAACTGTGTCGAGTTGATTATAGTTGGATATTGAGAAAGAGGTTCTTGGTAGGTGGGGTACTCTGGTTTGATCCATCGAAGAGGGTTGAAGGTTTCTGGATCGGGGTATAGATCAGGGTCGCGGGAGATGGCCCTAAAGAAACATGTCAGAATCTTTTACACTGTTCAAGATACAGGTGAACTTACCACTCCAAAGGATGTACGGTACTACCCTTGGGAATGTGATAGCCGTTGTATTCATCGTCCTGAATCAGATAGTGGGGAATGCCGGTGGGGACTGGCGGGCGCCATCGAATGCACTCGCGAATGATGGCTCGCAAGAAAGGAAGATTGGGTCTATCTTCTGAACGTGGCATCCGGTCTCCACAGACACGATCGAGTTCCTCGTGTAACATCGGCAAGAACTGTGGATAATATGTCATAGCCAGACAAAATGTCTGCATTGGAGCAGCGATAGTAAGAGCTCCGGCGATACCGTGCATGCCAACAGCATATGCGCCTTCGGTATCAGATTTGAACCCCCATTTGCTGCGACCATCCAAGAAAGTTTTCATCCAGGATGGGGCCGCTTGTCCTGACTGCACATCGTTCACAACTTGTTCTTGCATGGTCTCGAACCATGTTCGCTCAGTGGTCGCGCGTCGCCTCTCCCAAGCCTTGGGTGGGGAGAGCCAGTCCGGCAGTGACATAAGGAATGGAAGCTTGTTAGCCAGAGAACCAGTGGGTGAGACACCAATGAGAAGTTCGCGTGCGCGTTGCTTCAGCTCGTCACTACCTTCACTGTGGCCCCAGGCCAGTCGGCAGGTGACGCGAGAGATGAAAGACTCAAGGATGTTGTTGTATTGATCAGGTGCGTCCAGTAGCTCGGTCAACATGCGCGTTGATTCCATTTCGGGGTATCGATGGAATGCAGCCTTTTCCGATTCACGCATGACGATGTTCGCAAACTTTCGTTGACGAGTGTGACCCTCTGGATAGTGTTAGACACAGTGGTATTATGCGTTCATGAATGGGACTTACCATTTCGACTGAGAAGCGGAAGATATTGTGCGCTTGAACGGTTGTCGTCAATCAAAGAGGGGATATGCGGTCGATCGGAGTAGATGGCTGCTTTTTTCGAAAGCAAGTCTTTCGCAATCTGATCGCTGGATATCCAGACATGATTATGACCAGCCAAGTCGCATTGATAGATAGGGCCATATCGCTTGCCCCAATCCGCGAACTTGATGAAACCGTTCTTCTCAGGCACCTCAGGTACTGAGCCGAGGATGGGGTAGCCTAGTATACGCCGGTTAGTCAAGGTACTTCTATGATCGTCAGGGTCCAGCAGTAGACCTTCGCCTATGCGATGTGACAGTGAAATAAGTGCCATACCTTTGGGTCCTGGTAGAGGCTTTAGGCCGGTCGGTATTCTATGACGACGAGATGAATCCCAGTACCTGTAGAGTGCATATGCACCCAGAACAGCTATCGCTAATAATATCGAAGGAAGCCCCATAATGGCAGCCAGTCGGTAGGAGAAAAAAATCACACCCAGCGTGACGAGTACCAAGAAGTTGGGTTACGAAAGACGTGCAGCCTTAAGAAGAGATTCGGGTGCATGAGACACTACATATATAACCTGTTAAATCCATGGCGGGAGGGTTACTGCCTGAGCATGTAAGCCTACTCCTGTGAATAGTTTCGAGTACCGATATCCCGTGCGCAACTACGGGACGCTGCGTGTCAGAGCCGAGAGAGTGGATCATGTCCTCTAACAAGCATGACGCCTGGGATTACAAAAAGTAGCCTCGCTTGTTTGACGAGCTCACTGGTCTGCAAGGACCATGAGTTTTCTGGCTGCGCTGAGTATGCAGCATCAGTGCCAAGGCAGGCATAGTATGTGAATCCTCCGCGACCGTTTTCGTCTAGCTTGCGTAGGACCAAGCTGATAAGAGACTCCCTGAGGAAATTGGCAGGGCGATCGCTGAAAGCTGCAGTAATGGGACGGTAAACATCGACGATGTTCTTTTCCGCATCGTTCTGGGCAACTTGCTGTCCTGGTCACCGGTAAGTTACTGACTCGTCAGATGTTCCCGAGATAGTCGCAAGAAGACAATTTTTCAAGGATATAAATCTGGTGCTCTATGGATGTTCTACCGACACTCAGTAAGCGGATACGGGTTGCATTGCATATGTGACACTTTGCGAGAATTGCACATGCAATATTGCCACCGAAGATCGCCGGGAGATGGCAGGAGGTACAGCTGATGCTTGCCGAGTGGGCTGAACTGACGAGCTCGGTGATGCATCAGAAGGATGTGGCCGTCTTGGAAACGTGAGCGTTGTGACAGTTGGTTGTCGTGTGTCAGGATGATGATCGGTGCTGATGGTGTTGTCGCATATGGGGCTAATCTATTTTCGGAGGCCTAAAAAACCAATGATCGTCCGGCAGTCGTGCGGATCGCCCCATTTGCGACCATCAGCCTAAAGCCCCTGCTCGCTTCGCGTCCTCATTCCAAAAGCGTCAACCTTGGAAGTTATCTAAGTGAGGAGAGCCGACGTTGCAAGTCCGGCGCGCCTGAGATTTTCTGCATTTCCTCTAACTTCACATGGAGGCTTCTCATCGTTATCTTAGGCAGGTATGCTCAGTCACGTCATCTTACCCTGCATTGGACCCTGAGCCTATCGTCTCACCCGCTCTCAGGCGCAAAGCCTTCGTCGGCGACCGCAACCTCCTCCGCTCCGAAGTCTGCACATCTTCACGGTCGCATGTATGACAGAAACACCTGTCTCGAAGTAAAGTAAGATCGCTTTCGCTCCGTGCTCCTCAGGGCTAGCATGAAGTCATCATGTTTGCGACATCACTCCTTGAAACGATAGATCCGTGTACTATTTGTAGCAATGATGGTGTTTCCACTAGGGATCGAGCAAGTAGCTCACCCGCTATTTTACCAGCAGTTCCCGGCTAGTGTATACTCATACTAGCCAGGTACCGACTTACTACAGCTGTCTCCGTAACTCTTTAGGCCAGTGCCGCTACACACATCATTCTGTCACATAGTCGGTACCCAAAATTCTGATTTACTCATCAAAGACGACCCCAACATGCTCACTTGCGTCAAATGATATGGCTCGAGCTCTGTGCCAAGTTCACGGCGCACAACGGCCTCGCAGAACACACCACATCCGGATCGGCTGGTCCTTACTCGACGTGCAAACTCCAGATGTTTCGTCTGCATACGCGTCAATACCGCGATCGAATCGCCATCTTCTCAGGGTAACATGGAGACACGCCTAGGCAATAAGCTCCAGGCCGAAGTCGGCCACATGAGTCGCTTGGTTCTACGGACCCAGACGCAAAGAACCAGACCCGCCACCAGAAGATTGCCAACCCACTGAATAGTACGACGGCATAGGCGACGAATATCGTCACACGACGCTGACTCGAAGAGAATCGCTTCCTCAGCGTCTTTGAGCTTGCAGTCATTTCTGCGCGTCATGTACCCAACAACCAGGTTCCGACAAATTCGAAAGCGAAGTTTGGAACGAAACACCACGTCATGTGCACTGAGCTTATCACAATTTGCACGACCACAGGCATTACAACATCTCGCCGTTGCATAATCGTGCAGCTTCGAGAATGCTTAGGCTTCATCTCACGTTCGTGTTTATGCAGGGTAATCTTTACATCTGAAGTACAACACATCTTGGCCAAGTTTTGCTTTGCTTTGATGTCGCACTGCCTTAGACACGATGTTGGAATAGCATCCTATATGAAGCTGTGGAACGCGCGGCCCGGGTTTTCCGTGACCCATGACAACGCCAACTTCCAACGACATTCTGCGATACGTAAGCTCGGATCCAACGGTTGTTGGGGAGCATCATCAACACAGCCTTCGGTGAAAACACGAGGCACACGATCAATTACAGCTGCTATCTGCTATCAGCACTAGTCTCTACCTCATTAGGGAATGATGCATCATGCTCTTCATCAGGACTCTCCCAACAAGACCGTCCTGTTGCTAGTATATAGGCTGCCTCTTCTCTTCTTTGCGGCAATGTCTGCTGACCACTGGCTCCGTTCGTGTTGTCTTGAGACCGCTGATGCTGACCGTAGAGCTTGGAGTCACTCCCTTCACAGAAGTGGTAGGCGAGGTAGTGACCGAGCATAGTAATTTGCTCTTTCCAGCACATGCGAAGACTATAGCGAACGTATAGGTAACAAGGTAGCAGACAACGGCAATCGAATAGACGATGGCCACCTGATCGATCATTGGCGACCTAACGACACAGCCAGTATCTTATTACGCCATATCTGTGACCATAGTTCTCGTGACGAATGCAAGGCGCACAAACGTTGACTGTGAGCCCACATCGATACAAAACCCAAGCAATGGCTATCATCATGGCGGTAAGCTGCCGGATGAATACCATGAACCAATGCTTGCAGTCTCTTGTTCCCTTGTACCGCAGGATTGTGCGTCCTAGATGTTCGAACGTGTCTGTGCAACAGGTCTTCTGTCATCGTTCTCAGGTCTGGGAGGTCGTCAATGATACTCTTCGTTTCGATGCTCTTGAGAACAGCAAAGACAGCGCATATCATAGCGCTGTACCAGAATATCGCGTCAGAAGTATTCAGAAGTTTTGATAGCGTATTCTGGACTTGACTCCAGGAAGGAGCGACGATTGACGCTGTCAAAGAGCGTCAGGCGGGCCTGCATGTGTTGCTCCGCACTTCATTCCGAAATCTTAACTCCGAAACCTTGCGTATTAGGCACTCGCACCTACAAAAACAGAAGCTTGTTACTCTCAGACCCATCTCTTCATAAAATGGCCGAATCACAGTACATCATCCTTGAAGGTCTGCCGACACCGCAAACGTACCACGATCTCCGAAAGCTCGCTGGCATGACACCCCCACCAATGGAAGCCGTACCCAAGTCACTCGCCAACTCCTTCTGCTGCATCGTCGGCTATGAGCGTAATCACATGCTTGACGACAATACTCCGGGGCTGGGACAGGAAGCCGTCGCAATGGGTCGTTTGGTCGGCGACGGGTCGCTGTTTCTCATCTTGGTGGACGTGGCGGTGCACCCAGATCACCAGCGCAAAGGGCTGGGAAAGCGCATCATGCAGAAGCTTGTGGACTACGTGGATGAACACGCACCACTGGCATATGTGAGCCTTGTAGCTGAAGAGATGGCACAGAAACTCTACCCGATGTATGGCTTCAAAGATGTGGCGCCTAGTATTGGCATGTACAGGATGATCCGGGAACGGAAGGTTCAACAGGACATGGTGGAGGATACAGAAAAGGAAGCTTGAAGCCACAGGATCTGCCACCTCTCTGAAATCCATCCATCATTTTCGATATGCAAGCCATCACATTCAGAATCCGGTCCGAAGATGGTGGACGACGCCCTGGTCAAACGCGAAGCTTTCACATGGCTAGGCAGCTGGGCAGGGGTTTGGTTTGTGGGGGTGGCACCCCACCGATGGCGTCGATGCGCATCACGCCCGGACTTGACGAATTGACGCATCCAACTCACAACACTCCCACGTGCGCAGTTGGATACTACAGCATTCTCGCGCGACGCGCGTCTATGAGCACTTGTGATGCCTATGTGTACTTCTCCAGACCACATGATGTCCCCTTCCCCACCAAACGTCAGTGCCGAGGAACGCCCACTTTCTGTATGTACAATGATACCCGTGGGCAGGCCTGGTCCGCTCTACACGTGCTATCTCCACAGTGCGCGCCTATCCGGCGTCTGTCTTCGACCCTTATCTGCATTTGCGAAGATGAGCTGACTCGTTCCAAAGCTACAGTCTCTACCCAGCGAATTACTCCAACTCATCGTTGCCTACCTCGACACTCCTACGCTCAAACACGTGGCTCTAGTCTCCCAGGCATTCCATCAACATGCGACGGATCGATTGTGGCGTCATGTTTGTTTGGTCGACCAGTGGAAGCTACACTTGAACGAAGAGACAGACCTGCTATGGGGCGAACGCGGCCGTGGAGAGCCCGACGAGCACGACGACACACCCATCATTCAGAAACTGTACATACTTGCGACGTAGGTATCTAGGGTCCTTATGAGAAACGTGCTAACGTGTTAGTAACCCTGCGATCGCATCCAAGGTCCAGACACTGTCGCATCGATGTCACCTGCCGTCTCCGAACATATTCAGCGAACTCCCACGAATGCGCTTCGACGCCGATAATCTCTCACAAGACGATCGACTACACATACTCCTCAAGCTCGCCATACGAAACCTGATCAATGTGCATACGCTGCGTATTGTATACGGGCACTACAAGCTGACGAACACACTCGTCACTGGCTTCCTTGATCAAGGTCGACCACGACGTGTACCTCTTCGTAAACTCTGGCTTGAGAGCTGCAGCTTCGACAAGACTGAGTTATGCCGGCTTCTGCCAAACAAAGCTACTGGGCTCGAGAGCATTCGGCTGCGTAGGCTTGGGAAGGACATGTCAGATCAAACAAAGTGTCCGGGGCTACAATTTTCCGAGTTCAAGCTTTCCCGTGGCGGACAATACTACCAGATGCATAATGGCGCAGGAGGTTTTGTTGGAACCACTATCCACTTCTCTCATGAAGGTCTGCCAGAACGCTGGCCGCGGTCTTCAACAGAAGAGTTGAGTGAAAAGGCCAGAGCATATGATGCTATCATGTGGGAGGAACTTCCCGAGATTAGAGACTACGTCGATGAGAATCCGGTGCATTTCGAGCCCGCATCACTTGGACAGTTTGTGTCTGACCCAAATCCCCCAATGGAATGGCTAATTGCATGCTCTGCCTCCACGCTCACCAGTCTCAACCTGGATTGGATACACTGGCGTCGGAGAGATGCAGAACTCGCCGGCTCCACCACTGACTCTGAATTGTTTCTCTCTGCACTAAGCAGGCTGCGTTTCCCGCACTTGCGTGCATTGCAGATTCGCAATGCTGTTTTACCACCCACAGTACTCCCAAAGGACGTTTATCTAATGGAAGAACCCTTTCTGGACTTCGTCGAGGCGCATTCTAAGATACAGTGCCTCGGTTGGCCCATGGACAAAATGTACAGTCACACTAAGCCGTCTCTTGACATTCAAAATCGATCCCGAGCTCTGGTCGCCCATTTAGCAACAACGCTCACCGACCTTCGCATCGATACGCAATATACAGGACCTGGGGAGCCATTCACGGCGATATGCAGGACGGCAGAAGACATGCAGGAACGTACCCGGCGACGAAGATTCATCGACGAGTTCGTACCTCACATGCGGAAAGTCGAGCAGATCAAGCTAGAAGGCGGTATACCACGCGACGAGAAGCGTGAACTGCTTCGAGCACTACACTGGTGCCCGTTGAAGAAGATAGTCATGATTGGCGTTTCATTTCCAGCAGGGAATACATGGGGCGCTGGCGGACAGCAACTCAGCGCCATCGACCCAGGGCAATCCGGCTCAGAGTTCATCTACAACCTTGAAGACGAAGACCTTTCGGGCATCTTAGCCGCATACCGCCGTGGGTTCCCAATGCCCTTGGATTTTACATTTGAACCGAGCTACGGCTGGCCGCCCCAAGCGCCCCTTCTCCAGACCGTCGCCCTGCACCACGCGTCTACAGTTGAAGAGCTCAAGATTTGTGGCTACAACGGCTGCCCAATTCTCTCTTACACAACACCCATCACCAACCCTCTTCTCACCGGTCTCCGCTCCTTCGACAACCTCAAACAACTCGTCATCTCATTCTGGCTGATGACTTGGTATGAAGACTCCTATCGCGATACGGAGATCATCCAATCTTGGCTCGACACACGCTCCCCTTCTTCGACAGCACTCACCATTGTGACGCCTCCCGCATCGCCAACCCATGATCAGCCCGTCGACCCAGGTCAGTTTCCCAACTTTGGTAATCCACGCGTTGTGCCACGTGCTCAGAACTTCAACCGGTGGGCTGTCGAGCTCAGGACCAAGTTTACTCCCTCGGCGCTTGCGTACCGTGTTGCGCGGGACATTGGACCGTTCCTGAGTGACGTGGCTAAAGAGAGGAAGGGCGGTGTGGGTGTGAGGGCGAGCTTTTGCCTGGGCGTAAAGGAAGAGAGGAGAACTGCGAGCGACATGTTCGATTTGGATATCAGGATCGGGAGAGGCAACCAGGTGTTGGAGTTTGTAGGACCTAGAGAGGAAGGCGAGAAGGGGCGGTGGTGGACGAAGATCGAGCAGAGAAGGTGGTTCTGAGGAGTGATGGAACGAGAATGTGCTTTATACTTGTTGTGATTGTTGAAAGCGCTGCTGCACGTCAACATGCAACTTCGGCCATGTACGGAATTTGTATAGCAGGTGGTGTGTTAGTCGAGACTTGTTCATCTAGATAGCAAAGCAGATCAGGTACAAAGCAACAGGCACAGTGTCTGTTTGTAATTTGCCAATAAGGTCGGTACGTCCGTAGGTGTAATCGGTACGGTCGTCTGCACTCGAGTGATGGGTCGCGGGATCAGCTGGCTATATGCGTACATTCTTGCGTTCAGCGGTGTAATATGTAAAGGTCTCGGTGTCTCGTTCGGTGTATATCCATCCAACGGCCTCGATAGCTTTCGCTTCCCTACAGCTCATCAGTGCATCCTATCTCATCTGCGGTTGATTGGCACAGTCGTTGGCTTGATTCATGCTTTTATTTCGTGACAGAACATGATGAATTTTCCGTAGTTATGCCTCCAGAGCTATGCGCTCAAACGGCGATGCCCTCCTCATTCGTCATGTGGGATGGGCAGCAACCGGGAGAGGGATGACAGAACGCCCCATGCCGAGCAATACCATTTGCCTATAAGAACCCGCTTTCCGATCATGCACCCGTCCGAATGGCCTTCATCGCGCCTCTACTCCTCCTCGTCGCCAACCTTTAGCTTGATGCGTTTACGAGGACTTGACGGTGGGGCCCTTGGCACCCTTGGGTGTGCCAGTTTGGAATCCGTTGCTGAACTTGCGGTTGACGGTCTTGAGGTATCGCATGCGGCCGGTACCGGTGGTCTTCCTGCGCTTGGCCTTCTCGCCCCAGTTGACTATTCCAATGTTAATCTTCGCGTTCTGTGTGTGTGCGTCTCAGGTACACGTACACTTGCGGGTCTTAGCAGCAGGGTAGCCGCATGAGGCGCAGGTGTGCTTCTGGATGTGGAGGGATCGTTGACCTAAACATTGAATCAGCCCTTGTCTCTTTCCATGCCTTCGCATCTCCAATACTAGCTTCCAGGGAGATATCACGTACCGCAACGCCTGCAGAGCGTGTGCGTCTTGTTGTGGCGCTTTCCGAAACTGGAGGTACCCTTCGCTATATCGCAGTCAGTCTCGAAGCTCGTGGTTGCGGGTGAGGGTGAGGGTGGGCGTGTGGCGTACTCATTTTGGCTGGGGACTAAAGAGGTGCTGTCAGTGATCGGACGTCTACACAGCAGAGCGGAAGCGCTTACCTGGTGACGCTGTTGTTAGTATCGAGGGTGGGAGATGTCGCGGTTTCGTCGTGCGAGAGCGAAATCGACAACAGCTTAGCGAGACACAATTTCGAACGTGTGTGGGGCTAGCCGTTTCGGGAATGGCGTGGCGGGCTCCACCGGCAGGCACGAGGGGCATCACCAGCAGGAACATCGTCGCAACCAGTGGCAACGATCAACGCTCTGCCGTCGCTTGACCTATTCTTCCATCGATTAATCTGAAGGACTCAATTCATCCACGTCGAAGGCTCCTTTGATTGATACTCAGAGACTTGGGACGCTCTCATGAGCGATCTCTTCGGACATCACGACGGCAATATCACTTGTGACCACGGTCATTGCTTGTAGAACGTTTTTAAGGTTGGTATCCCCACGAATTTCATTGTTGATCCCATTATCGCGCTTGGGTGGGTGGGACATTCGTGTCTCTACAAACCACAAAATCTAGGTGGGACGAAGGATAGCTGCCAAACTCTGTGTGCAAAAACCATCATCAATTGATGACTGCACCTCATGTTTGAGCTGTGCATATGAGAGTCCTCACGAAACATCATCCACCAATACACAACGCAGTCTACGACACAGCATATACGGTATGTGACATTCGTGACATTTCTGCGGCTCATCCACGGATGTCAGCAGAGACATGAGAGCTGATACCACGCATCAAACTACCGAAAGTGAATATTAAATGAACAAGGGATCCCATGATGTTATACATACTGCCCGATCGGCAGATGGGACACCTTCCAAGTCAATATGATACAAAATGTTCCTATGTAGAACCACCCAAACTCGTCGTCACCCAGTTGTGCTACTGTTCCCTCGCACGCACAGCAACTCTTCCAAGTCCCCGGTCATATCTGTTGAATATGAACGCTGAATCCCAAATGTGTCATTGGCGATCGGCTAGGTTTATTTTGGCTGACCCTGGTTGTTGAATCCGAAGTCCTGGTCAGAAGGGTTGGCAGAATAACCGAACGGAGGGTAGCCACCGCCAGAATAGCCACTGCTGTACTGATCGCCGTTGTTGTAGAGGTAGGGGTTTGCGGCGTATGATGGACGCTCTTCCTTGCCGTTGCGGCCAGCGTAGGCAGGACGCGCAGCCCACTGATTACCGTTGTGATTGCCGCTCTGATAGCCAAGACGAGCGTCACTGTGGCCGTCCTGAGGAGAAGACATTCCGTGCTGCATCACAGGCTGGAGGTCGCGAACAACCTCAGGGATATTACCATAGTGACCAGGAAGAGAGTGTGGAGAGCGCTGGTTGTGCGAGGGGAACGGGGGCTGAGGGGTGTTTGACGTCTCAGCAGCCTTCTGGCCCATAGACTTCTGTAAAGCCTGGACGATCTGCTTCATTTCCTTCATCTCCGCCTCTATGCAGGTCGTCTTCTTATCCTGCTCCTTGAACGCGTCGGGAATAGTCTCCTTGATACTATCTTTGATGGTATTCATGGTAGCGTAGATGTTGTGTTGATTGTCCGCTACTTCCCTTACGCGATCAATGGAAGTCTCGACGCGGTTGACGGTTTCCTTGATAGCATCCAGATGAGATGAGAGTTGCTTGAAGCGCCTGTTGATCAATGCCAAGGTATCATCATGCCTCGCCTGTGATATATTCTCCTGCTCCTTGCCGAACGTTTCCAGTGCGTCCCAAGTAGTCTTGCCCACTACATCAAGGTGCTCATTGGTCATGAAGAAGTGGTCCTCGATGGACTTGGGTGGAAGCGGCTGGGGAATCGCGCTGTAAGATCCGGAAGGCACGGACGCGCGTGCTGTGAACGGAGGACCAGAAATCTTGTGAAGCGGACTGGGAACGGCACTGGGACAGTAAAGCTGGAAGTCGCCCTGCGACCCACTGCGGCCTGGGCTGGCAGTGTTGAGCATATCAGTCAGCCTTGAGGAGGACTGATCGCCCAGATTGCCGTTCCTTTGTCGTGGGTTCTCACTCTGCTCTCCAATACGCAACTCTTGCATGACGCGGGTTGTGACGCCAACATCGGAGCGCCGATCGCTTTCATGAGTGAGCTGCTCGTTCTCATCGAGCTCGCGAGCAGTCGGAGAGTTTGGCTCGATATCCTGACGGTCTCCTTGGAAGATCATCTTGATTGAGCCGTGGGCCGACTCTTCGCGGGGGTGGAGGAGCGATCGTGACCTTGTGGGGTGTGAGTAGAGAAGGCGCTTTTCGTCAGACTGAGAGATATGTTAGCGTTTATCACCAACACCGTAGGGGAAGAAGCGGGGTACTACAGGTCAAGGCAAGTAAACGCTGAAGGGACAGATGACGACAGGCCCCACTATTTGGGAAGGTGAGAGAAAGAGCCTTTGGAGCAACAACAGACTTACATTCTTGGACGGTGTCTCGCCTTCAGCAAAGGGAAAAGGAGTGATGCGAGATGGGGAGTAGAAGTGCGGCAGGAGGTAGGGGCCCTTGTCAGCGCTGGTCTCTCGCGTTGTGTTCGGACGCTCCTCCCTCATGCGGTTGGGACGAGGAAGCTGCAATGAGCCAAGGCCTGCACCTGCCAAAGGAACAGGGTGTTTGCCTTCTGCCTTACTTGGCGATTCCTTCCAGTTAGGGTAGGGCCATTGCATGGATCCATCTTCTATGAGCTTGGTGTAGTCCTCTGCGGTATATGGGCGGGACTTCGTGGGACTCGATCCACCATGTCCAGGTAGTGTGCCTGACGAACGGACGGGCGACAGATCAAGCTTAGGAAACTGAATACGGCTGATGTTGTCGTTGAAGTCTGAATAGCTGTTACGCAAATCACCGCACGTTGGCGCAGCCCTGCGAAGTGGGCTGGGCTGCCTCTCATCTGGTGGGGGAGTATCCTTTGCTGGTGGTGAAGGCGGGATGACTGAATCCGACGATCCGTTGACATCAGGCACGGGGCTTATGTTCTCTATGTCATACGACTGCTTCTTTAGGCTACCTCTACCAGGTGAGCCACGGCCACTCGTGCGATTGCGACGCGAAGATCCCCCACGATGGCGATGGGCGTAGTTGTCAAGATCAACAATCTTCGCAGGCAGCGACTTTACCGTGTCTGAGCGTGAGGTCCTTGTAGGGGTTGACTCGACAGGGCGCGCTGGCTTGATGGGGCGGACGGGGATGATGCGAGCCTGACGTGATGCTGTGCCCAAAATCTGCGCTGCTTTATTTGGCATTGCTGGTGGAACTGCGGTGCTAGAAGACTTGGAAAAGGTGTTACGGAGGTTCTGGAAAAGTTTTTTCTTCGGACTTTTGGGCGGCTCCTCGCGTTCTGGCTGTTGCTCTTCACTGGCGATCCGGCACTGTCGTCGCAAGTCTTCCCTCCTGATATAGATCTCGTTCTCGTTTGTCGAATCTGTAAGTTTTAGTACAAGAATGTGTACATAGTACCATAGACTCACCAATCATTGGAGTGGGCGGAACTTGACCCGTCATCTTGAACAGGTTCTTCTCAGCGCGAGATTCCACCTTGCCTCTAGCAGTCTCCTCGTCGAGAGCCTCAATTTGGGCCTGTGCAGCTACAGCTTCATGTTGACTGCCTCCTGACTGCCTCGAACGTGCCGTTGAGCCGACATGGCTACTTATCCAGGATCCATGATCTGACTTGCGGGGGGAACGTGCCTGATCAATTAAATTGGCGAACGTAGCCATGGCGGTGCGACTTCTGCCTGAACCCGAGGCTGGAATTTGCGACTCAATAGGCGAGGTCAGCGGCGTGTTATCGGTAGAGCGCTGTCCTTGCTGCCACTGCTGGTCGGTGGCCGGGAGAGGGCGCGGAGGTGGCGGCAACGGGAGCGTAATCGGCGGCGGGCGCTTCTTCTCTTCGGTGAACTGATACGACATAGGTGCAGGGTTTCGTCCAAGTGGGGGGATCTGTCCCAAGCGTGAGAAGTTGAGCAGGTGAAAAGACTTGCAGTCGAACCGGGTTGGTCGTAGCTCAAACAGTGTGAAATGCTAGAATGTCCTGTCTCAACCAAAGCGTCAGTACTAAAGTTTTGCAACTCACAAAGATCACAAGGATTCGAGGATGTAGGAGGCTTTTGTGTTGCGGAGTTGTTGACGCAGAGGTTGGTACACGACAAAGATCGCATTGTTGAGCAAGACGCAACGACAATAGCCATTGGCAACAACAACATCATCATCATCAACAACAGTGACGACATCAAACGCGCTCTTCGTTCACCTCATCTTAGAAGAGGGGTAGGCCACGTGGGGAAGCAGACTTGCAAGAGAAGACCGAGCAAGACATGGCATCCGGTGCAACGCAGTGAAGACACTAGGCGCGCAATGGATAGCTCCCGATTCGCGTTTTACCTGCTTTTCCAAGCATCAAGATCTGTCTGCTTGTTGCATCTTGAACGTGATGTGCAATTGATGGGAATTGGAGTGAAAAGCATAGAACGAAACTGAACAGATTAAAAGAGAACACTACCCACAATGGCGCCTGTATTCGAGAGGTATCCAAAAGATTCACGCCTAATCAAAGAATATCTGTAAATCAACGCTCCCTAGCCTGCGGTTATTCGTAGTTGCCGCATAAGCATCTCAAAGGACACAGCATTTCTTGCCCTTCTTCCTCTCGCCGCCCTCTTTCTTCGCGGCTGGTGGCTCAAGTGCTGCTACAATCGCCTATGAAGATGTTAGCATTTACACCAATCCATCTTGTACAATATGCTTACCTCGTCAAACACGTCCTTGAGCTTGTATTGGGTCAGCGCCGAACACTCGACGTACTTGACTGCACCAAGCTCCCGCGCCATACGCTCACCGTCCTCCTTCTTTACGGGTGCCATTCTCTGTTTTGAGAGCTTGTCTTTTACTGCAGCGTCCTCCCTAAGATCTACTTGTGTACCGACGATAAGGCAGGGCACGCCCGGGCAGTGGTGATGTACTTCGGGGAACCATTTCTCGCGGACGTTCTCAAAGGAAGCGGGTGAAGTCACGGAGAAGCAGACGAGGAAGACGTCGGTTTGGGGGTATGACAGCGGCCGGAGACGGTCGTAATCTTCCTGCCCGGCAGTATCGAAGAGACCGAGGGTGTATGGCTCGTCACCGATCCTTCAAAGCAGTCAGCAGCTGCTCCACCAATCACTGTCCCGAAGCTAAATCCAGCGAGGGTTTGCCGCTACTCCAAACTGTACAAAGAGCAAAGGGAAGCTCACATGACGGTCACAGCGTAGTTGTCGAAGACTGTAGGAACATATTCCGAGGGGAACTTGTTGGTGGTATAACTGATAAGAAGACATGTCTTTCCGACCGCACCGTCGCCGACGACGACGCACCTGTAAAGTAGTAAGCACTAGCATATAGAGCATGGCTGTCGCAAGCCGGGCATGATGGGCTTCGCGTACTTGATTGTCGCAACCACCATGGTGAAGGCAGGCTAGAATTTGTTTCGAGGCTATGGATGTTTGTTTGGAGGCAAGTCGGGTGCCAAAATTCGAGATAGGCGTGCGGAGACGGAGCGGAGATGTCGCTACGCAGGCTCAGGGTCGTGGTCGTGCGGAGATGGGAGCTATGGGCTCAAACGAGGGGTTCCAGGGAGCGGGGAGAGTCTGGCAGACGGGTAAGTCTCACAATTGCTGGCGCTGGCAAAGATGGCAGACTCGGGCAGGCGTACCTATGAGTCCTCGTGCAGACGGCGGCGGCGGGTGCTACGTGGGTTGGAGCGTGAAACACCACCCGTTAGACTTGGGCCAGGTCCTGGTGAGCCGGTGGGCGGACAATGCGGCGAGCGATTGAGGCAGTGCTAGCGACGAGGCACGCGACCGGACAAGGACAGTACAGGCGCAGCAGCAGCCAGCGACGAGGCGAGTTCACACGAGGGCGCCGGGACGTTTGCGAGGGCGTGAGTGAGGTTGCGCTCTAGCGACGGCAGCGGATGCCCTTGAGCTGGAAGACGCCAATCAGTCAAAGCGGCCTAGGGCTGTTATCATAGCCTTGCATCGGCTCCCGCCCGTAGCTCGGAGACAGCTTGTTATGTACGCCTGCACAATTTGAAGCCCTGTTTGCGGCCGCTGCTGGCCAGACCTGGAGCGCCTTAGATTACCCAGGTCGCCCAACGCGTGGCAGGCCCACCAGCAACACCCGCCGACATTGGCTTGATAGACGCAGCCTGCAGCGAGGCACGACGGTCAAGATGCGCTGCCTCCTCTGCATTCCAGCGCGGCTGCTCCCTATAGCCCAGAAAGATCCCTGACAAGCCCAGTGAGCCCCAGATTTGGGAACGAACCGTGCACATGGACAACGTGGCGGATCGTCCTGTAATAGCATGGCCTGGTAGTGTTTGCGCAACAAGGCGGCGTTGGATCAATCATCTCTACCAACACACAATGTAGCCAGGATCTGCAGCCCTTCTCCAACAACACCTCCGCTGGCTGCAGCCAGAGCTGGTACATTGCCATAAGCGCACACCCCTATGTACTCGCCCACGAGACAGCTCATTTGCGCGACTGCGAGCCAGGTGCAGCTTGACCCATTGCCGATTGAGTCGAATCTTAGCATGCTGCAGGGCAACCGTAGCAGACCCTGACGCGGCCAATCAGCTTCCAGTCTTGGCTCGGAACAACCTGCCCTCCCGGAAGCTTGGGCCTTCTCTCCCCATCTGTCTCCATTCGTCTCATCTTACGGCTGCATCACGCCGTCGCGCCTCAATCTAGGACAGTGCTGTCATGGATGACCTCGAAGACGAATTGGATCTTCGTTTTCACAAGGGACTGAATCCCGATGTCTATTACCGCTGCCCTACGCTCGAAATAATATCGTCTTCGCAATCTGTATCCACGTAGCTAAGCTGTTATGCAATAGTCATTGGAGGGAGCTCTGCGCAATGAACTGGACAAGAACGCAGCCAGCTTCATACCTACAGACGTGGTGACCGAGTTCGTTTTTGCGACTGCCTCAATCATCACCATCCCCGTGATTCAGCAGCCGAGCCTTGACGCGCTCATCCAACCAGCCGATCACCTTCAGAGCATTGCTGTCGAATACGCCCTGTGTCGTGACATTGACGGCAAAGAAAGGCTCAAGGTGCAGCGAGCAATAGCGAGGTACTTGAGCCCACATATCTGTACTATGCTCGCTTATGCACAATAGATCCATCATCGAAGTCATTCAGGACACCGATGGGTTCAAATACTCCGAGCGCTCTGCGCAGAGTAAAGAAGGCGGCGATGGTACCAGGCTCAAGGTAAGGCACTGCCAAAGTAATGACCAGTCCCTCGTTGTGGCTGACGACGATAGTATGTTTGCCAAGACAGCCTCCAGAACCGCAAAAGCAACCTGAAGAAAGAAAGATCTCACGATAACGACAAAGACGAGGCTGGAGTCAACAGACTGCGGCCTGCTGTGCTGCCGACCTACAACTGCTGCGGCGCAATACACATCAAGTTCTCACTCAAGCGAGATGCCATAAATGTCGTGTATAAGCATAATCCTATCCATACCACCCGCGACATTGATGCCAGGTACGTTGGAGCAGCAGGGGAGACTTGTTGAGCGACATGCAAACTAACTTCCAATAGCCTACCTGCTTTAGCCACAGATAACGGCGTAGCTTCCACAACCGCTACTACGAAAGAAAAGAACCCGCGCAAAAGAAAGCGCAGTAAAAAGGATGTTGTTGAAGCGAAGAACGACTTCAGAGACCCAGATATGGACATGTCAACGTCCCCGGAAGCGACGCAGTCATCGACGCAGAAGAAGTGCAACGAAAAGGGTGCTGTGGCCTCTCTTAGGACAGTGCGGAAACCATCCACCAAGAAGAGCAAGAACACCAAGTCGCCTGCATCACCCACCAAATCGAGGGAAAAGGCGCCCGTCAGTGAACCATCACCGCCGCCGGTACCTGCTCGTGGAAAAGCTTGTATCCGCTGTTGTGGAAAGAAGATCAAATGCAACGAGGCGAAACCGAAATGCAACCAGCGCCGAAGAGGACTTTGGACCTGTCAGTACGAAGTTTCGAACAACAAGAAGCGCTCCAAAAACGGCTGTCTTAATTGCAAGCAGAGACGACGGAAGTGTACAGAAGAAAGACCATCGTGCGCATACTGCTTACGACTGGACGATGACTGCGAATTCGCTGACTACACCTGAGGTTCTTTGCGTCTGGTAAAGTCCTATAACTCAAGCGACAAGTGACTCAGCACCCGCCAAACGTCAGACTTGGCACCAAATGCGCAGGCCTTGTGACGACCATCAGAGTACTACAACAGGCTAATTCTTGACATGATGCCAACTCTGTAGTCATATAGGTGTCTGAGACATGCGTTAAATTGTCGCTGTGCTAACAAGAGGACCAGACAAGAGAGCATGCTGTACAATGAGGCATACGCTACCTTTTCGCAATGTCAGCACAGGCAGGGCGGATGCAAGCACAAGAGCTCCACATAACAATGCGCAAAGGTCAAGTGTACAAGGCCGTTCAAGCAATTGACCCTTGAAGGCCTGCAATTAAGAAACTTCACTCCTTTTGCAGTAAGTTTATGCTAAGACCTCGGGCGCGATGTAGCGTCCTGTATTACTAGGGTCTTCGGGTAAGCGAATAACAGAAGCCGTCAGTTGATCAGACTAGTTCACCCAAGCAGTTCATTAACCATCACACGACTGAGCCGCATGTTCCCCACAACGTCCATTGCACATGTCAAGGGTGCAGTAATTGTATATCGGGGCAACGTCCGCTTGTGATGCAGTGTTCCGAGTTTTGATTCGCGGCTGACCCTCGTCACCGGCTGTAGACCCTGGGTCAACGGCCCGCCTCCATTTACTCCATCCCACCGCCTCATCTAATTCAGCGATGACCCCTCTACATCACACGTCATGCGGCTTGTAAGTTTCTTGGGGTCTGGGGTTACCGTGCTGGATGCTGGAATTTTGCCAAGGGCCAATTTTGACGAAAAACAACAGCCTCGGGCTTGTGCGTTGCGCAGCATGGACGATCCGCCGGTATTTAATAGGAGACATGCCCGAGTAATTCCTTGCGATGCATACGCTTTCCCGTACAGCTTGTTAGGCCGTTGAGATTTCAATCACGATGCGTTCTTTTATTTTTCCTGTGCTTGCTACGGCTGCTTTATCGCAAGCTTCAGGTACCTACATCCATGTTACATAGAACCCCATGTTTATTACTAACTAGTGCAGCCATTCCGTCCGAATTACTTTCTTCGAAGCGTGCCGTGGGAAACTGGGACGATGCCCATGCGAAAGCGACGGCTGCTCTTGCAAAACTATCGCAGAACGAGAAGATTGGCATCGTTACGGGTGTGGGTTGGCAGAACGGTAACTGCGTTGGCAACACCAAACCGGCTGCTTCGATTGGATATCCGTCGCTTTGTCTGCAAGGTAAGCAAATATGTCTCACTACTTTCGAGCCGGCCAGTGGTTTGTGGCATCGGAGTCAAGATGCTGTGACCCTACGAATATGTTGTGTTCAGCGACTTCGGTGCTTCAAGCTTGCAGCGCAGCCACACCGGACGCGCTCCTCAACGCCTGCTCACTGCATGCATATATTCGAAACAGAATTCTTACTAACAGCCTCAAGATGGACCCCTCGGTGTTCGCTACGTCCAAGGTGTAACTGCATTCAGCGCAGCTATCCATGCCGCCAGCACCTGGGACATCGATCTCATTCGTGAACGCGGCGCCTTCCTTGGTGCTGAAGCAAAAGAGCTGGGCGTCCACGTCCAGCTCGGACCTTCAGCTGGACCTCTCGGCAAGTTTGCCAACGGTGGCCGAAACTGGGAAGGATTCGGTTCCGATCCCTACCTTCAAGGCATTATGATGGCAGAGACCATTGAGGGTATGCAAGAATCCGGTGTCCAGGCGACAGCTAAGCACTGGATTGTCAATGAACAAGAGCTCAACCGAGAGACTATGAGCTCAGATGTGTCGGACCGAGTGCTTCGCGAACTCTATGTTTGGCCATTCATGGATGCTGTCCACAGCAATGTTGCGGCCTTTATGTGCAGTTACAACAAGGTTAATGGAACTTGGGCCTGCGAGAGCGACGGCGTGATGAACAAGCTCTTGAAAGACGAACTTGGTCACCGTGGGTACATCATGAGTGACTGGAATGGTAAGTTATGTACACTCATCAACTCTGGTTCAAAAGCTGACCTCGTTTAGCCCAACACACGACGACTGGTAGTGCGAACGGCGGAATGGACATGACCATGCCCGGCACCGACTTCAGTGGGGGCAACGTCTTCTGGGGCCCACAGCTCCAGTCCGCTATCGACAAGAAACAGGTCCAACAGAGTCGCCTTGATGACATGGTCAAACGCGTACTCGCCTCATGGTACCTCGTTGGTCAGGACAAGGGCTATCCCAATGCCACCTTCAGCTCCTGGAACATTGGCACTCGTGAGGTCGGTGGCAACCACAAGACTAACGTCCGTGCTACGGCTCGCGATGGTATCGTCTTGTTGAAGAACACGAACGCTACATTGCCCTTCAAGAAGCCCAAGAGCATCGCTGTCATCGGAAGCGACAGCATCGTTGCGCCCAAGGGAGCTAACGCATGCGTTGATCGCGGATGCAACGATGGCACGCTAGCTATGGGTTGGGGCTCTGGATCAGTGGAGTTCCCCTACCTCATCGCTCCTCTCGATGCCATGAAGACACAAGCTCAGAAAGACGGCACGACCATCACCTCTTCACCAAACGACAATGCGCAGCAGGGGGCTAGTGCAGCTCAAAATGCTGATGTAGCTGTCGTGTGCATCAATAGCGATAGTGGCGAGGGCTACATCACCGTTGAGGGCAACGCTGGCGACCGAACTAACCTGGACCCGTGGCACAACGGAAACGAGTTGGTCAAGGCAGTTGCTGCCGTCAACAAGAAGACCGTTGTCGTGGTCCACAGCGTCGGCCCCGTCATCATGGAACAATGGGTAAGAAATTCAACTCGCAAACTGCATGTAGGACATACACTAACTTACGTAGATCGACAACCCGAATGTAGTAGCTGTTGTATGGGCAGGCCTGCCAGGTCAGGAATCCGGAAACGGCCTCGTCGACATCCTCTATGGCGCTGCCTCGCCAAGCGGCAAGCTCCCCTACACCATTGCAAAGAAGGAATCAGACTACGGTACCACCATTGCTAGGGGTGACGACAAGAACTGGGACCTCTTTATCGACTACCGTCGTTTTGACCAGCAGAACATCACACCCAGATTCGAGTTTGGCTTCGGTCTCTCTTACACCAACTTCACCTACTCCGACCTCAGCGTCTCAGGCAAGCCCTCGGCTGGTCCCGCAACCGGTGCCAAGGGTCCCGGAGGCCCTGTCGATCTCTTCCAGACGGTCGCAACCATCACAGCCAAGATCAGCAACTCCGGTGGTGTTGCAGGTGCAGAAGTTCCACAATTGTATCTCGGCTACCCTGCGTCGACCAACTCGCCTCCCAAGCAATTGAGGGGTTTTGCGAAGCTCAAGCTGGCAGCTGGTGCAAGCGGAACTGCTACTTTCAAGCTGAGGAGAAGGGATATGAGCTTCTGGGACGAGAAGACCAGGAAGTGGAGCGTTGCGACTGGAGAGTACCAGATCTTCGTAGGATCAAGTTCCAGAGATGTGAGGCTGACAGGCAAGATCACTGTTTAGTGATATGATGTAAAAGGCCAAGCTGGTTGGAAGAAGTGAATCCACTGTACTCAATAGTCAAGTAGAAACACAGAGGTTGCGGAGGAAGAAGAAATTCGCGAACACCGTTATTGCTATAACCCCCCGTGATGGATCCAGCAAAAACCACTTTCAAGGAACCCAAGTCGTGTGTTGTTTTCAGGGGTTAAGATGCGGATCCAGCGGATGTGCGGAGACACGTTCGGCACATTTTGAAGCTTTCGATCGTCATGATGCCGATATCGGGACAAAGCAAAACTGTGACAGTCACTCATCATTTGCATGCGGGTACCACAAAATCCTTTCCGGAGGATACTTTCAGGCTGCGATCGACAAGATAAGACGCCACATTAAACGAAGAATGCTCGTCATACCCTACGCCGCATGGTAGTCAAGCTTGAAAGCGCAATGGCTAGACGACTACGAACACGTCTCTTACAACGATTCTGAAGCCTGTATGTTGCTTGGCCTAATACATGAATTGATGTGAATATTCTTGTAGCCTCAATTTTGGGCCGTAAGACGCAACCTATACCAGACTCTCGCGACAATACTAGAGGACAGCGTACGCTACGCCGTAGCCAGGTAGGGCTCAAAGAGACGTGATAGCGGGGCCGGCATTCATCGACCAGTTTCCCCGGACGTTTGTCATAGTATCTGGATCCTGTGTTGAAGAAACTTTGCGACCTATCGTTATCGTGACCGAAAGGATATTGTAAAGGTTGTCATTGGCGCAGGTGCGTGTCATTGCGCCTTAGCGTCATTTGGGTGCTGGGGCAGAAAAGCCCCTCCGATTACTCTCCATCTTCACCTTACGCAAACTCAACACCTTCAAAGCTAGCACGTCAAGCTTCGCCTCAGATAGGCACCCCCTTTAGACCTCGACTGGCTCTACTACCGCGCTTATGAAAGCTGCCCCGACAGTCTTCACTTCCCAGGTATGTCACTACTGCGATGGTTGATGAGCCCTTATCAGGACCTGCATCGCACACCGTCAATTCACCGCCGGCCTTTCTGCCTCTTGGTGGCTTGACGATCGATGCATCCTACTCGAGATTTTTTTTTCTTCGATTCTTCTATCATGACTGTGGCTAATTGAAGACGTTAGGATTACCTGTCAGGTACGATGTCGCCCGTAGCTAGACACGTCGTGAGCGTCAGACTGACTCCATCTGCAGACCACCTGTGGAAGGCCTCAGTAAACTGAACGCCTACCCAAGCTGCCACCAAACGAATCACTATCTCTCCTCACATCTCCGCTCATCATGTTGTCGCAAATGATCAAGCCTTCCACCATGCGGTCCGCAGGGTTCCTGGGACGAATGACAAAGACCCGCGTACAGGCACGCTGCCTCGCTACTGTGGAAGGAAACACACAACGTGCCATTCCTACTCCCAGCATGCGCAGGGCCACAGCTGTCTCCAACGAGCCCGCGACCTTCACCATCAAGGTGTGTTGAGTCATACTACGGATCTCGGCATATCACTAACAGCTGACTAGAACGGCCCCATCTTCGAAGGCAAGTCCTTCGGAGCCAAGACGAACATTTCCGGTGAAGCCGTCTTCACAACCTCTCTCGTCGGCTACCCCGAGTCCATGACCGACCCCTCCTACCGTGGCCAGATCCTCGTCTTCACACAACCGCTGATCGGCAACTACGGCGTCCCCTCCAACGCTCGCGACGAGCACGGCTTGCTCCGATACTTCGAATCCCCACACATCCAAGCCTCTGGCATTGTCGTCCAGGACTATGCTCTGAAGCACAGCCACTGGACTGCTGTAGAATCGCTTGCACAATGGTGTGCCCGAGAGGGTGTCCCCGCCATCTCCGGCGTTGACACTCGTGAGGTTGTAACATACCTCCGTGAGCAGGGTTCTTCTCTTGCTCGTATCTCCATCGGCGAAGAGTACGATGCCGATGAGGATGAGGCGTACATTGACCCTGAGGCTATCAACCTCGTGCGTCGTGTATCGACCAAGGCTCCCTTCCATGTCAGCTCTTCCTTGGGCGACATGCACGTAGCTCTGATCGACTGTGGTGTCAAGGAGAACATCCTTCGCAGTCTCGTCTCCCGCGGTGCCAGCGTCACCTGCTTCCCCTTTGACTACCCCATCCACAAGGTCGCCCACCACTTCGACGGTGTCTTCATCTCCAATGGCCCTGGTGACCCAACTCACTGCACCACCACCGTCCACAACCTCCGCAAGCTGTTCGAGACGTCCCAAATCCCCGTCATGGGCATCTGCATGGGTCACCAGCTCATCGCCCTTGCTGCCGGTGCAAAGACCATCAAGCTCAAGTACGGTAACCGTGCTCACAACATCCCGGCTCTCGACCTCACCACTGGCAAGTGCCACATCACTTCGCAGAACCACGGATACGCAGTCGACCCAACTACCTTGTCCAGTGAATGGAGGGAGTACTTCACCAACCTCAACGACCAGTCCAACGAGGGTCTGATCCACAACTCGCGTCCCATCTTCAGTGCCCAGTTCCATCCCGAAGCCAAGGGCGGCCCTCTTGACTCTGCCTACCTCTTCGACAAGTACATGGAGAACGTGCAGCAGTACAAGAACCACCAGTCCAACTTCTCTGAGAAGAGCAACAAGCCCAGCCCTCTTCTTGTAGACTTGCTGAGCAAGGAGCGCGTTGGTTGCCACCCCGATGCGCCAGACTTTGAAGGTCACGCAGCGGGTATGGACAGCCAGGAGATTACGGTGGGCGGACCCGTCGCCCCTTCTTACCAGCCTATTACACAGAAGCCTGTTGCGTCCGCTGCTTAGACTGGCCTGGTCTTCTGTCTGATGGCAATGTGTTAGTTGCGTTTTAGGGATCTTGGCGGAATGGCTACAGCGGCGTTATTGGAACAGGGGGGATAAATTGACAAGGAAGACATGTCGGGTCGAAAGACGGATTTCGACTAGGCCTTGGGTATTTCAGTAGTAATGCAATCTTTATCGAAATTTCTCTTGCTTAAAGGGCTGATGTGTCTCTGATATGGCAGGGCCCAATCAAGACCATATTCGAAGGCGATTGCGAAATGGGAAGTGATTGCAGTGTTTGTAGTCTATTACGACTAGCTGTAATAGCATGGGGTATCTTGATATGTGCTTCTTCGTCTTGACCTTATCGAGAGTGCAAGATCAAGCCTTTCCAAACCCGGGCTCCTCCTCCAACTCCTCTTCCGCTTCACCTTCCCCGTGTCCACCAGCCTCGCTTTCTTTCATCGACTCGTCCACTTTGCCATCCGGAACCTTCCTCTCCCGTCTTTCCTGCTCCTTCTTTCTCGCGCCCGCCTTTAGTTTCTCCCATTGTTCCCTGTATCTGCTCAACACCTGTTTGTCCCTTTCTCTGTCCTTGGTCAGCTTCTCGTTGGCGCTCATCAAATCGTTGATCTTCGCGTTTAGCGAAGCGACCGTGGCTTCGTAGTCGGCGATGCGTTTCGCAGCGTCGACGTCGGGGGTGGATGTCGGAGGCTGACTGGGGGAAGTAGGCTGTTGTTGGGGCTGGCCTGGTATGGGAGGGGATGGAAGAGCAGGAAGGTGATTGATGCCTTGAGAAGCGAGGGCGTGGGCGAGTGCATTGGGATCGCTGGAGCCACGTCCAGGTCCTCGAGTACGGAAGGACTGTGCGAGGGCGTTGAAGGAGTTCTGGGAGTTGAGTTCCCACATTTGGATGCGTTTGGCTTGTTTGTCGATGACTGATTTCAGGGTGTCGTTCTCCAGTGCTAGCTCCTCCATAGTCTTGAGGCCTGAGCCTCTGCCGGCTGGTATGGAGCGCTGAGGCGTTACGGATGTGCTGGAGTTGCCGCGAGAAGGGGGACGGCGTGCTTTGGTAGGCGACGGCGGGCCTACATTCTCTCTCGCGTCGACAAACTCTTCGTGTGAACTCCCTCTCAGTGAGCCTGATCCTTCATCGATGGCATTGAGCTGTGTGTTTGGTGGTGGTGCATTTGGCGCATTGGGATCGCGAAGGATGCTGGCGTATGTGACTGCTCCGCTCGAGGTTGGCACCAGGTAGAAGCTTTCGTTGGGCCCTGGTGCGCCATCCTCTCTCAGGGCGCGAAGTGCCGGCTTACTTATCAAGGCAGCGAGGTCTGGTACAGAGGATTTGACGGTTCTCGACGCTTCTGGAGAGTGCGTTCGGGACTTGGTTTTGGACGATTTCTCTTCCCTGGGTGTCTCAGACACAGGCGTTGGAGTGGAGGGGTTGAGGGGAAGGGAAGTGAAGGCTAGAGGAGCGCTGATGGCGGATATGACACCCCCAAAAGCCGAATAGAAGCGACTAAAGTTGTCCTCTGCGGGCGGGGACGCAGGTTGTGGAGAGGCGCCTTTCAGCTGCTTCGCTGAGTCTCTGGTGGCACTCGACTCTGCTTTGCGTGACTGCTGCGCCAGTAGATCGCGCACAGGCGTGGAAGGCTGCTCAGGCCGGCCGGTTGTGGTGCTGGGTAAATTTGCTGAAGCGCCACTGGTGGTTCTCTTCGCACTGGGTATGCCGCGCTTCTCGGCGAGGTTGGTGGCTATCGAGGACTGGGGAAGTCTGCGGCGAGATGTCGGAGGTGTCGGGGAAGAGGTGTTGGCTGAAGAGGCTCGCGACGACGACGTGTTTGGCGAGGGAGAGGCGGCGGACAAGTCGGAGGGCTGCTTGGTGGCGTCCGTCTTCTTCTTGTCCTTGCGCGGCGCTTCTTTGATCAGGCCGGCGAGCTTGCGATGGTGGTCTTCGAGGAGACTGAGGATGCGGAGGGCCTGCAACACTTTAGACAGGTGGGATAGCGCGTGTCAGACTACATACCTCAGCATCGTGGGTATCTTGGGTGGCCTTGTGGAAGGCAGTCGCGGCGAGGTCATGCTCCTGCCCCGCGGTTGCGACGCTGTTGGTGCTGGTGGCAGTCGCGGCGGTGCGGGCGTGATCGTGGGCCTGGATGAGGTGTGCAGACTCCATGGTGGTGGCAGAGGCAGGGGGAGGACATGTTGATGGAGTCGCTGTGCACAAAGGCAGCAGCACATGCGCGTGAAGGGTCGCGGTCACGTTGACAGGGATGCGAAGGCGGCCCCCCCATGTCACTGCGGAGTAGATCACCGGGCTAAAGACCCGCAGCTACTGGAGACGTTGGAACCAGAACACGAGCAGCACGCCCGCCTGGTTTCAGCTCGTCGGCCTGCGCCAGCTTGCTTCTTCTCCCCTCCAAACACGTCCTGCAAGCTGCTCCCCGTCGCCTGTGACGCCTCGCTCACCACCATGATTGCCATTGCCGCTGCCACCCTGCCGTAGTCTGTCCCGTTGCAAGCGCCTCGCGAACCATAGCGGCTCCCTACGTAATCGACCCCCCAACCTACCTAGCAAACACGGCCCTCGCCAGCGTCGCAACATCGCTATGCGCGTCTGAGACAATAACGAGACTCTCTACTCGCCTCTAGTGCACTGCGCACCAGACCGCACTCTACACTCCACAATGGCCTCTGAGCGGCGGAGGAGCATTGGCTCTGTGTTCGGCCAGAAGGACAAGGACAACACGCTGGCTGCACCCCGCGCGCATTCAAAGGGCCCGGACTCGTCGACCGTCTCCATTGCCAGCAGCGACGGCAACGACGACCTGCTGCGCAAGTCGAGCGACGGGGCCATGGACCGCTTCAGGAGCCGCCAGAACTCCGACGACGCCCGCAGCGACGCTTCCTCGTCCCGCCGCCGGCGCATGTCGACGCTCTTCAAGGGACGCTCCAAGGGCAGAGGCTCCATCAGTCAGGATGACGTTTCGCACGTCGACCCCAACGACGACGTCCCTCCCGTTCCTACAATTAGACGTCCGAGCATGGGTCATCCATACCAGAGCGACGACTCCCTGGGCCTGGCAAAGAGCGTCGCAAGCAGCCTGCTCACCGACGACTCAGACACGGAAGCGTAAGTCGTAGACGTTCCTTTTCCTCTCCACTCTGCTCCCTGTCTCAGATGCACTATTATTTGCATTTGCAGGCTGCCCATTCAAGTTCGGCGTGCAAGGTTTGCCTCGTGGCATTGGCGCCGCTCGCATGGACTCCACAGCGAACAGGCATACGTTCTGGCCTCAGCTTCCCCACTAGCACATCACACCTCCCACATCATCGCGTCGTATCTCGTACACTCCCTTGGCTGTCGCTCTTCCATTTGTCGTTACCCTTCATTGCCCCCCTCTTTCGTATTTCTTTGCCGCATACGTACCCACTCGGCCTGCACGTTCCGACTAACCCGCTGCAGCCCACCACCACTCAAACGTCCTGGCATTTCACCACACCAGTCGCATGCTGGTCTCTTAACGCTGTCATCGCCCCTGATCGCTTCCGAAACGATTGACTCTACCACTTCTACCAATGTCACTCTCGTAGACTCTCAAGCCTCCACCGAAGAGCCCGCTGCCCGGAGCGCCAACTCTAGCAACGTCGCTGCGAACAAGCGGGGCGTGTCTCCTGTTGGCAAGCTCAAGGAAGCTTTCACACCAAACCGAAGGTCTACGTCCCCGGCTCCTAAACCAGGTGCTAGCCCTGACGTCGCACGACCGAGCACGAGCGGAGGTGGCCTAGGAGCCTTGTTTGGAGGAAAGAAGCGCGAGACGAGGGTGTTGGATGATCCGATCCAAGCCTCACCACCACAGATACACACAGGGCAAGAAACAAAATCTACGCCTTCACTAAGATCCGTCGCCCCGAAGCGCATCATTACCTCGCTCCCTGCGACGCCCCCCAATCTATCTGATGCACCCACCACCTTCATAACACCACCCACCCCGACCGATCCGAAGCCTTCTTCCCCAACTGACTCCACCACTTCCAAGAACACCGTGAAGCACGACAAGACCAACTCGAATCCCAACGTAGTCGTCTCCCCTTCGGGGAACATGATATCGCACCGACGCGCGCGATCAGCCACGAATCCTCCGAGCAAGCTATCACATTCATCAATACCACCTCTGACCCCTCACCTCGAGGAAGCAAAGACCCCTGGAGGGACTGCTGTACTTCCTTCATCTCCTGGTGGGCCTGGTGGATTCTTCGCTTCCATCTTCTCTGCCGCGCAGAACGCTGCCAACAACTTGGGTGACACCATTGCAAACAACACAAACATCAAGAACAAGCCCAATCAGCAACAGCAAAAGGACGACGACGATACTCCAGACGGTGGTGAAGAAGTTATCGGTCCCGAGAGCGCAGACACCAACGCGAGTGAAGGCGCCGAGAAACGAAGACCTGCGATTGAAACACTGGGATCTGGCAACTTGAGCTTAGCCCAACTTGGTATCGCCGAGAGCAACGACGTCAGCCCAATGTCTTCTGCAACCAGTGTCACGATGAAGGCCGATGAAGCATCAGCCCAGGTCGAGGACCGAGCTGCTGCCCAGGCCGTCTCAGCCGCGTACGCAGGGGAGAAGCCTCCATCAATAGCTAGCGAACGCCCAAGATCTTTGACCGCTGTCTCTGGTCAATCAGGGACGGGCGCAGCGTCTCCCCCACGGCAACCTGAGATAACCGACTCGCCAGCGTCGATTCAGCGTCAAGGCAGTATACGCAGTCGTATAAGCGGTGGCAGACGGAGACGGCATAGGGGCAGCTCCGCTACTACCGGTAATACTCTGGGTGGTGTCATTAGTGCAAGTACAAGTACATTGGCGCCGAGCGCAGCATTGAACAGTCACCGTCTGAACGGAACTGGGTTCGCAGTTGCACCTCCTAGGCGAAACAAGGATTTTCACGCACTTTTCAAAAGCGTGCCTGAGGACGACTATCTGATCGAGGACTATAGTGCAGCCCTCCAGAAAGAGATCTTGCTCCACGGACGTTTGTACGTTTCCGAAGGGCATCTTTGCTTTTCCAGTAACATCCTTGGATGGGTCACAAACCTGGTCATCAGCTTTGATGAAGTCGTGTCTGTCGAGAAAAAGTCCACAGCTGTCCTCTTTCCAAACGCCATCGTCATACAGACACTTCACGCTCGCAACGTGTTCGCGTCATTTCTGTCACGAGACTCTACCTATGATTTAATCATCGGCATCTGGAAAATCTCGCACCCTAATCTCAAATCATCCCTCAATGGCGTAACGCTAGACGGTTCCGGTGGCACCGGTGACAAGACTGAGAAAGCGGAATCCATCGGCAGCGAAGACGGCTCTATCCAGGATTCGGATGACGAGGTGTACGACGAAGACGCGGACGACGACGAAGGCACTGGAAGTTTCACCGAACCTGGCGAAGGTAGTATCGCTGGTAGCGAAGTTGGCTCTGTGGCAGGTGAGACCACTCGAAAAGTAAGCGGCGCGGTATCACAAGCCTTTGGCGGAGGTGGTGAGACGGCTGAGGCTGCGAAAGTAGCCACAAATGGCACTGCCGCTGCAGGACAAGACTTCCCTGGCTCAACAGCACATGCTCCCACTGAGTGTGGTGACAGCGACCAGCATTACGACAAACTACTTATCGATACGACAATTCCTGCGCCCCTAGGCAAGGTCTACAGCTTGATGTTCGGTCCTGCTTCTGGTGTGTTTATGCGCAAATGGCTTGTCGAGGACCAAAAATCCTTGGACCTGCAAATGGAAGATGACAAGAAGGGCTTAGGCGAAGACATGAAGACATTCAACTATTCCTATATCAAGCCGCTCAACGCACCCGTTGGACCGCGGCAGACAAAGTGTAATATCGCCATGAACCTGGAACAGTACGATTTAGACAAGGCCGTAAGCGTGCTTTGCAGCACAGCAACTCCAGATGTACCCAACGGCAGCATATTCCTCACAAAGACAAGGTATTGTCTGATGTGGGGCCCAGGAAACAGTACGCGGCTCATCATGACCTTCACGGTGGAGTGGAGTGGAAAGAGTTGGTTGAAGGGTAAGTAGTATCTGCATCGACGCAGAAAACATGTTAACATCCCCAGGTCCTATCGAGAAAGGCGCGAATGATGGTCAAATGTCGTACGCTACCTCCCTTACAGCCGCTCTCCGTACTGCCGTGAGTGCGGCGAAAGCCGGTCCGGCTCGCGTACCCGGAAAGGGCGGAAAGGGCAAGAGGCGATCCAAGGGCAATCTTCTGGATGAAGCGCCCATGCCTGCCACCGCTCCTGTCCCCACTAACCAGGCAAAGCAGAGCAATTGGGGGTTATTGGAGCCTTTGCGCAGTCTCCTTGGGCCATTTGCTGATATCCTGGAATCTATCTTTACTCCGCAAGTCATCATCGTCATCCTCGGAGCGCTTCTGATGTACACCTGGCTATTCCGAGGTGCATCTACAGCAACTGGTCCGAACCAATGGTCGACAGCTCAACGTCAGGTCGCGTACGAGGAGATTTGGCGTCACGAGGAGTCAGATCTTTGGAACTGGCTCGAAGAGAGAGTTGCTTTGGACAGAGTGCATAGCTCAGTCCGGGGGGCGCACATTCAACCTGAAGACGGCACGCAGAAGCCTCTAGCACCGCAAGACATGCAGGCGCGGGAGATGGACGAAGCGATTCGTGTGACCGAGGAACGATTGAAGGCGCTGAAAGACGCCGTGACTCGCGAACGCTCCAAGTCGCGTACGAAAAGTGCAAAAGAGCAACAAACGTAGCGCGGAAACGCCGGACGATTATAAGCGGCCCTCGGCAAGGGTCACGTGAGTGAAAGCACTCCACGGCGTGCAGCACGCCCATGAGTCGCGAAGCTCGAACTGTAAACATACGCAAGACTTGCATGGCGATGGCGTCTACTCTTTCCCTTTGTGATTAGCTTGGCGTTTAGTAGTCGGGGCCCGGGGAGGCTTGAATGGCGTACACCTGTCATACCATGGCGTACAGCCGTGTCGTTTCTTTTGTGTTTCGGACTGTCGTATCAAGGTCAGGAGAGGATTTGTAACCTCTTTTCATCTTTGCATAAGGATTTCTTTACATTCATGCAGCCTGCACTGTCAGTGTTTCCTACTGACAGACTGTTGTTATAAACCCCGTTCCTCAATCAAACCAACAATGGCTCGTAGACTTCCAGACCCAGAAGGTCCCTCTGCATGCGCCACCCGTGCTAAATCTAAAAGGGTCTATTGCCGGGATGAACAGTCTTTAGACTAGGGATCCACGGCGTGCTTTGAACCGTTGTTAAAGTTTGGTGACCTGCAGCGATGATCGCCAGTGCTTGCATTAGCGCGATCTAGGCGATGTGCTGCACGATTTGTTCGATCATTGATGATCCAGATCATCAATCGGTTTCTGTGTCTATTCAGTTCCTGGATGCGTAATACTGCGAGTGCGAGAGCAACTAAAGTTTGTCCACATCGCTGACGACTGATAATGTTGCAATCTAATCTTGACAGCTCCCTGAAGGGCAAGCAAGCCGAGAAAACTCCGGTTCCTTGAGCGGACCTGGATACCACGTGTCATGGCAGCGATACTTGGAAGCTGCGTCTAGCGCCATTACATCCCGTTCTTGTCTATCCATCGTTCACGTCTCCACGATTTAGCCCCCCACAGAAGACGTAGCCACTGTGCGATCCTCTCATCTCCCAGGTTGGGGAGTCAACAGTTCCAATACCGGTGCCGTCGGTTGCAGGTTCACGCCACACGATCCGGCCGAGCGTCGCTTCTCTAGACAGAACCCAAACTCTGGATAAACTCAACGTGCGAGAAGACGTGACCATCGGATACCAGTTTCCTAAACAAGTTGGTCTGAGGGTGCTTTCGAGTTAGGCCATGCTCCGGATTCGCACCGTTAACGAACGGCCGCGTTCCCCCAAGATGCAGCGGCCTACTGTTTGGTACCTAGCTCTACCTTAGTTTGCTCCGCCGCCGCCGCTGCTACTGTTGACGGTTTTGGGATGGGATAGCTGAACTTTGTAAGAAGAATTGGTGTGACATGGCATGATCGATGGGGGTCTGGCTCACGTGGAGAAGAGCAAGGGTTTGCCACGGTTGAGCTAATAGAGTTTCCGTAACAGGCGTGGGATAGCTGGGGAAACGTTCTTCAACCACGACTTTTTGCTTTTTCGTCGGACCCTTCATTCTGGTACTCGAGATCTTTTTATCTTCCAGTATATGGCGTGGCCACACTGTATGCGAAACATCCGGAATTTCCGGTGCTGACATCTAATCTCGGATATACGATTCCACTTTATTTTCTCTATCATACTCTAGTCGAAGGTTTCTTCCATCACACGTCCAACATGGCATACAGCCCTAATGGAAAAGGGTCGAGTGGTCTCCTCCCTCCTGTCTCAGTGTTTGCAGCCTGGCCGCGTCCGAATTACGAAGATCCCGTCACGCGCTCCAAAGCCGTTCTCATTACATCATGTACTCTGGGGTCGATTATGCTTGCCACAGTGGGAGCAAGACTATGGGCAAGAGCTGTTATACAAAAGAACTCAGGTATCGATGACTGGATCATGCTGGCTGCAATGGTATGAGCCTCTCACAATGACTGCAACTGTGTGCGAAGACTAACACATTGACCAAAGATTCCAACAATTGGACTGACAGTCACCGCCTGTCTTGGTACGTTGCCACTCTCGCGAAACCTCACCAGACCAGTCTACTAACAACCACAATAGCGACCGAACGCTACAATTTCAATCGACACATCTGGGACGTCCATCCCTCCAAGTACGTCCCAGAGCGCCAAGTCACCTTCGCCCTCTACGCTTTGTACATTGTGGCAGGAGGGATGATTAAGATATCCATCCTGCTCTTCTACCGCCGTCTCGACTCACGCTCCATAACAAAGAGTTTTCGCATCGCTACATGGCTGAACATCATTGCCATTGCAGTCTTCTCCATCGCATTTGTCCTCGTCCTCTTCACAGCATGCACACCATTTACCGCATTCTGGTATCAATTCGACATTACCAAACAGCTTACGGGGTACGCATACCGTTGCTGGATTGATGAGGCTGCAGACCTCCTATCAGCGAGTATAATAAGCGCTGTACAAGATGCCATCGCCGCATTCCTCCCCACGATCCTATATTGGAACCTACACATCCCGCCTCGCCAAAAGATTGCGTTGGGCGCCATCTTCGCTCTCGGTTACCTCGTCTGCATCGTCGCAGGCGTACGCTCCTACTTCGTGTGGCGCACCTTCAACAGCCCCCAATACGATTCGACCTGGGAGTCCTGGCCGGCATGGCTGCTCTGCGTGCTGGAAATTCAACTCGGCGCCATCTGCGCGAGTGCGCCTGCCCTCAAAGTCTTCCTGTCGCATTATTTCAAGGTGGCAACAAGTATGTACAGCGGATCTAGTCAAGGCACGACGCATGCCAGCATCCAGAAAGGCGGCGGTACCTGGTGGAAGTCGGCAAGTTCAGGGACGTCAGGGTCAAGAGGAACACAAGCTTCGAAGCCGGACAGAAATGGGTATATTCGGGAGCCGGGGAATGCGCATATGGTCGATGAAGAGGGGGGCATTGTGCTACAGGATACTAAGAGGTGTGATGGACGGACGGAGAGTATCGAGACTTTCATCTACCTATGAGATGGGCCACAACGAGGAACTGTCGAGAAGACGGCCAACTGGATGCACCACAAAGTTATCATGATACGCACCCAGAACGATAGGACTGGCATGGGAATGCTGTCATGCTATTGTGATCGGGGACATTACGTCACAGCCTGCCCTGACGATTTGGAGCTGCACAATACCCCACAACGGGATTTGTCACCTGCCGTGCGACTGACGCTGTTGAGTATCGACAAGCGTCCTCCCATCAACACGCGTCGTTATTCACGGGTAGAAAGCGAAGGCCAAGGGCAAGGGCAAGGGCAAGGGAAAGGGAATTCACAATAACATGATGGTAGTAACCGAAGTGCCTGACAAACACAACGAACGGGCGCGTGATCCAAAGGACGATCCCAAAGTGAATAGGAGTACCTGTATCGACATGAGAGTAACGTCGGGACTATCAGAATGGAAGATTACAAATAACTTTGTAACATGTAAATAATACAGGGACAATTGCAACCACTCTACAAGTAATGCATTCAAGGGCGTTGTACGAAATACATCGTCTTCTGTACCACTAATCCTAACATCGAAGTCCAAAGACGGGCTTTCTACTACTCCCATTCCAATCCCACACCTGACCAACAACACATATAGAACTCTTCAACGTCTCCCCAAGGCCTCCTTCATCCTCTTACCCCTTCTCTCCAAAATCTTACCATCCTTCCTCTTCCTCGCCAACTTGGCCTCGCTCCACTTGAGCAACCTCTCCCTCTCCTCTACTTCTACCTCCCTTCTCTCTAAAGCACTCTCTCTACCTTCCAAAACGCTTTCGCGCCACGTGAACATACGCTGCTGCTCTTCCAGTTCCATCTCGCGGTTCATGACGGCGACCTTGCGGTCACGAATGTCTGGTAGAAGCAGGGTAGAGGAGGAATCGAGGATCTTGTTATAATTGGAGAGGTTTCTGCCCGCGAGGGCCTTGGATGCTGGAAGTGGGTCAGCAAATTGTTGTGAAGAGGTTGGTGAAGGAAAGTAAATTGGCCTATGATATGTTTTGGACGTACAATCAAGTGGAGTAACGGGCGCACTAGCCATGAATCCAGTGTTGTGGTGTGCATACGCGTAGTCGATATCTCGCTTGTTGCATTGTCCGTTTTGGTGCCAGAAGAAACAGGTCAATGGTTGGGGGAAGTTTTTCGGTAATGACTTGTCGAGGTCGCTGCGTGTGTCGTCGAGTGAGGGGTGTTGAATTGAGTGTCGGCGTGTATTGTGGGAGCTAGAGGATGGTGGAGCACTTCGGCAGGGTAGGTTACTACTGAGTGTTGAAGAAGAGCGTGGTGCGTCGGACCTGCGTTGGTACGCGTTGTCGCGATCAGGTATGTAGCGGTCGATCATGCGGGCCTGCATATCGTTTGGTTGGAGAGTCCAACTGGCGTATGTTTTGGACTTGAGAGAGGACGAGACGGATTCAATTTGGGGTGTGGCACCAGCCGTTTGTTTGTAGCTGCGCAGAAGAGCACTGACCCTGACGAGCGTTTGCATACAATCTGACCTGTCATATTGTCGAAGTTACTGCACCAATGTTGCTATTCGTACTTTTGATGGTTACTTCCAAAGGCTATCGAAGGCTCAATGTACATCATTTTGATTTGGGGTATCATATTCCTAAAGCTTACTCTCCCGCACGTGTCGCTCTTCAACAGGTAGCGCACCACTCATCATGTCCAGCTGTTCTTCTCTTCCGTAGAGTACTCGCTCTCTACCTCCTCTTGTTGTCCACCAATTCACAGCAACACCACTACGCTCTGCATCCATCTCGCCACTGACCAACACTTCCCAGTACCGCGCTTTGACGTTCTCCCGCATTTCATCGTCATGGATTTGATTGAGTAGTTCGGCACATAGAGGCAGCCACTCCTCCAGAAGGTATATAGGAAGGAATGGCAGGGCATCTATGAGGGTCAAAGCAAGCACTGCCTGTTCCGAGAGGGCGGGTGGTGGTGCGTCTGAGCCTTGTAGAGCCAAAGCGACCGAATCAGGTGGCAGTGGCTGCGAAGGAGCGTTGAGAGCGCGATGGTATACGAGCTCTAGGAGCGTGGCTGGGAGATCGGGATGGGTTGCCGACAAGGTGGAAGGAGGAGCCGTGACACGCATCAAGGTCTTGAAAGCTAGACGGAACTGGCGCGGGGACAGGTTATGAGGGAAAACGCTGAAGAGAGCGTCGATGTAGAACGGCAGGTGTTTTGCTGTAATCTCGGCCGATTGTGGAGCAGATAGCACAGCAAGCATGACGCTATGGGCAGCTTCGAAGACTGGCAACATCTGGCGATTCTCGCCAGCCGCAAGGTAGGGTACCGCCGACGCGACAAGCAAGTCCTCGTTTGTGGCTGGCGACAATATCAGCGTGAAATGTTCTGCTGTATTGAGAAAGTAGAGGTCCAGTATGCGGTCAAGTGGGTGGCTTGGTATTTGGCCAAGGTGTTGAGGCGCAATAGTTTTGAGGAGCTTATCGGCGTGGTTGGGATAGGCAGAGAGAATGTCTATCGCTGTGAGATAGACGAATGTATGCTGGGAAAAAGACGCTGGGCCGAGTCGGGAGGTGATGAAGTATAGGTGGCGCAGGGTTTGTAGAGCTTGTGATGCTAGCATGGGAGCGATGGCGTCTGCAGCAAGCGCTCTGTCGGCTAGTGTTCGTGTAAATACGCCTCGCAGAATGATAGTAGTAGCAAAGAGAGCCGCCTTGAGTAGGTTCCACAATTGCGGAGTTGTCTTGTGAAGCGCTTCGTCTTCCAGGTTTGCTGCCTCTTCGGAGGGCTCGATATCCGAAAACTTGTTCTGTCGCCATTGTGTGGTAAGAGCGCGAGAGAAGCTTGCAAGGTCGTCCATCATTGTTTGGATGACCCATGGGTTTTTGACATTCTCGACAGCATGCGCGATTAGCCGTGATAGGGGACCCATAGATGATACCAAGGGCCTGTTCATAATGACTTCGACTTGTCTGTAAGAGCTGGAGTGTGGCTATGCATAGTCAGTACACGCATGGATCAGGTTCCGGAAACACCTACGCTCCAGTCCAGCTTCCCTGATTGCATTGTTCGTACGTCGAGATCCAGGCCCCCAAGGAAGTAGGCCGACTGGAAGCCTTCATTCGAGTAGTATGCCGTCCCAATGAGGACGGGAAGCAGCAGATCGTAATCAATCTGTGTCCTTTCCACATCCCCGATGCATCCGAAAGCATGGTTGAGCGTCAGTGTTATCGTCTGACCTCCCAGTCCGTCTGCCTCGGAACGCTCCCTGACTTCCACCAAGGCGAGGTTGGTCGCGCGTACCAAGGCAGCCTCGACTCTCTTTCGCATAGCCGATGCCCAGTACAGGTCCATGCCTTGCTCTTCTAGGCTCCCAATACCGATCAGCAGGCCGGCGAGGACGACCAAGTGCTTCCATCGGCGGCTCCGGTCGTCGGCTCCCGCGACTATGGCGCGTATCCATTCGTCTAGCGAAAGGCCTCCTCCTACTGGAGTCTGTCCTGGCGCAAGCTTAGCTGCTTTGTTGTGCCGAACGTCGTTGTGGTGGTTGATGATGGTGGTGACGGCCGAGTGAAAGACAGAAAGCATGCGGAGAGGCGTCCGAACGCCATCGGGACGGTCCCATAGCGCGGGCGCGGTGAGGAGGTGCGAAGTAAGGAGGCTGAGATTGTGGGGGTTTCCGAGCGTGGTGAGGAGTGAAGACGCGGTTCCGAGTAGTCTGTAGTGATTAGCATGCGCAATGCGAATAGGGAGTCGAGATGGGTACCGCGGCGTGTCTTGCTGATCTGTGTATGTCTGGAGCGAGCGCAGCAGCGTGGACAAGAGGCGATCGACGACCATGATGACCTCGAGAAGCCCGCGACAGGCTATCAGAAGATGCGCATAGAGGTGTTGGAGATGCAATGGCTGGTGTTGATCATCGCTTCGCGTCCAGCCGAGGTTGCGCTAAGCTCGGGCTTTAGCCGTTGCCATTCACTCGGAGATCGACGTCACAAGCATCAACTTCACAACATCGGCTTCTGATATCGTATGATCCCGTGGTCCTAGTCCTACGCGTAGCAGTATACGGAGCGCCCCATAGCCATGCCACACAGATGAGGTAAGCCCAACTGGACCCTTGTGCTCACCACGGTCTTCCCCTTGTGGATGACCCAACATTCACGTTCGCCTCAACACGTTCCCCACATCTTGGCCATGAATGTAGTTGACCGTATCTTCCCCAGCTTTATTCAACGCGTCGACTCGGCGGTTCCGCTCGGCTACACCACGCCGCCCTTCCCCTCCCTCTATTGGCCTCTGCCCGCCGGCGCGACACAGTCCTTCTACCTGTACCGTCCCGATGACATCTTCCGCTTCACCGTTTACTGGACACTGCTGCTGGTCGGCGGTATCCACTTCATCACTGCACTATGGGCGTGCATAGTGCAATGGCGTAATTGGAAGTTGATATGGATAGCCCTGCCTGTCTTCAGCATCGTGGGAGGCGTTGAAGCGCTTGTTGCGGGAGCACTTGTTGGCGGACTGTGAGTGGTACCTCTGAAAAGAGCCATAGGCATCGCATGCTGACTACCATTAGACTTGGAGGCGTGTATCAGGCAGGCTACTTCGAAATGTCCACCTGGATACCCTTTGTCTGGGCTGTCATCAACACATTGGTACTCATATTGTCTTCGTTCGCCATCTATGGTGGACTCTGAATCTATATCACGGACACATGCCCCAAATTTACCAGCATCGCATCTCAACGCTTCCACGAATACCTTCGCCCTGCGCATCCACAACCGAAGCCACGCCTTTGTGTGTATCCCTGCTGCCTCTGACTGAAGAGAAGGGCGTCTGCATGGGCATCCCATAGTCGACAATGTCGTGACAGAAACATTCCGATAAAGATCAGGCAGCTCTTGTTGCCCATGAAATTGCCTACTCCTTGTGGACGACTTCTCGAACTTTGAGCATTTTGACCAGCTGGCGTAACATCAATACCCTCCTCCACACCCTCACCATACCCATGAGTTGGAAACAACCAAGAGTACACTTCGCTGAAGTGACGCGATGTACAAACGATGCAAAAGGCCGAGAAAACGATGCGTATTCAACAACTCACACGATCAGACACTAGTCTCCAGCGGATGGACAATGTTTCAGAGGCTACGTGGTCAGGGACGCAACCTTGATGTTCGGCAAGACCTATATAAGGTCGGCCCCCATCTTCACCGCACAAAGCTACGGGATCCACGCGATTTGTGGCACAAAGGTAGAGAACATGCCAGCTGCATCAACGATGAACATAGATCGGAGAGCAAGGCAGTAATGAAATAGCAGACTCGTGGATGGGTATCATTACATTAGATTGTCACCGGTTCCAGCAGACCGGAGTCGGTTTGTTGTCTAGATCATACCTATATCCAAGTCTATATATACACCGTAGATCATTACTTTCATTACATCGTCACATCAGTCCAACCGCCTCATCCAGTATGTATCTTGAACCTCTGCTTCACTTGTTTCCTGCACATGGGGCACTTCGTCGGCCGCACTGGTATATGGCCATGCTTCACCGGAACAACGACATCAGCGCACCACTGACACATGACCATATGCCCGCAGGGCAATACAGCTACATCAGCAAGCTGCTGATAGCACACCTGGCATGCGAGTACCTTTGTCATTTCCGCGTCCGTCTTTGGCTCTGGCCGATCAGGCTGGCTGTCAAGCGACACGAGCGGTAGTTCCACAGGCGGAGGGTCGACGCGCAAGAATGCGCGCGCTTCAGCGAATCTGTGCTGAAGGGGTGTCCTGCGCATGCCGGGCTCAAGGAGACCCGAGGTGCGCATATTGGATAGCAATTCGAACGTCGATGCTACACTTGCGGATCTGGATGCTGCATCCCCGCTGCCGGGCATTGCTAATATTGTCTCTGGATCCAGGTCTACGTGGGACCCGTCGTTGTTCTCAAGGTTTGACCGCCGGGGTGCATAACTCCAGACTTGGCCTTCTGGCTCTAGAGTCTCTGAAAATGACTGCGACTCTCGCATCACACCCCATAGCAGCTGTTCCTCGATTTCTCGTCGATCCTGTTGGGATAGACCATCGAGGGGAGGTGCAATTTCAGTCCCGTTTGCTCTTCGTTGGTCGGCCTGGCGCTGGCGGGCGTATGCTCGTGTGTACATTTGTGTAAGCGGTGACTCGTAGTCGTCCTGCTCTAGTTCCTCCCGGGAGCCGAATACGCGTGCGAATCGCTCTCGCCGGTTTTGTTGCTGCGCTTCTCGTCGTGTCATTGGCCGCGGGGGCTCCAACGGCTCTTCCTGTATTTGTGGTGTGACGGAAGTTCGTGGTTCTGCCGGTGCCGTGGGCTCTGTGTGCGAAACGTCAGCCTCCTCCGTCTCTTGAAGCAGATCATCCAGCGCGTCTTCTACACTCTGGTGTGGCTGCTCTGGTCGCTCCTCTTCGGAGCTTAACCGTCTTCTTCGAAGTCGGTTCTCTGGTCTGCTCGCATCGTTCTCTACACCAGCCCTTAACTGATCCAATGTTCGCGGAAGGAAGCCAGGGCTGACTTCCCAGAATGGCTCCCCTATCACAGGCATGCGTTGTTCAGTCCCATCTGGCAGCTTCGCAATGCGATAGCCCTGGTGGAACTCCCACCATCGCTCTAGGAACTCGGTCTGGTCAGGTATCTCGGGTACGCGTGTCTGGGAGATTTCGAGGGGAGGTTCGGTAGCGGCAAGACGATTACTCCAGAACTCTAGTCTATAGTCAGCTCATGAGCCGGTAACTCGAGATCCTATCGAGCGGTATTGTACCTTTGCAGAACCAGCAGTAACCTTGCCACCTTGTGCCGCGGTTCACAAAGCCCACGCCGTCAATGTACACGCGATACGTCCGCGAGTGGACTCTTTCGTCGGCACAAGCGCAGCAATTCGGAGTAGAGGTCAATCGGCAGCTTGTGGCAAGCTTGTGCGGACAGTGTGTATCCAGGCGTGGGCAGTCTGCGGTCAAAGTGCCCATTATGAGTCGGCGGAGGGCTTGATTCTATGTCAAATATAGATACGAGAGATTCAACGCCCAGTGCACACAGTAAAGATCAAAAAAGGCTCGAGGCTTTGGGCGTGGTGAGCAAACAAAAGCGCGAAGTTTGGCGGGTGGCGCGTTGAGATACTCCGCGTTCCGTCGTCGCACTTGCATGCGCTCTGGTGGGGCTGAGCATGGGTTCGACGGGGGAAGTGGACCGCACCTAGCGTCATGTCATTCCCGCGGCTTGACACTTGCAATAGACTGTGACTGACGGCACTCCCAAGCCCAAAGCTCTACTCCTGCTTGCTTACCCGTCATAGCAGGTATTGCTACGATCTGTGCCTGTTGACTTACCAGTCTACCTGCCATGGAACCTCTCGACAGAGCAGTTCGAAAAAATCCTCTTCTACGATCGCCATGACCCAAATCAGCATGCAAGTTCCCAGCCCTGCAGAACTGGCTGACTAAACTTCTTAAAGCTTTAGACGCGCAGCAAGACAAGAAGCATCAATTTCATACGAATCGTTGGAGAATTGAACAGCTCGACATTGAAGCCGAAGGGGTGCTCGCCAAGGAGATCAATGATGAAATTGTACTTGTAGTACCCACAAGCGACCTGTTCGATATGACGGATTGTGCGCTAAAGATTGCGCAAAATAATAGGCAAAAGAACAGGCAAAAAGATACAAAGCACGGCTTTGTTGCCGCAGCTGAGTCCCTGGCGCAAGCGATGTATCCTAGTCCTGGTGCTTGCGATGAGTCGAACGCCCTTTACCTCTGCCAGTAGCGTCTCGACCGTGGCGACATAGACAAGTTCAGAGATAAGGCGATAGGTCTTGAGAAAGAGGGCGAGAAGATCAAGCTTAAGCTAGTGCGGCTGACTGAGCTATGGTGGGAAGGTGCTAGAGATTCCAAAGTCCTCACGGCGTTGAGCTTGTATGAAAACCTCAAGAGAGAAGAAGAGTTGCCCTCTATGCCCAACGACATCGGTCGTGAAGTCAACAAAGGAGGGTCAGGAGAAGTGATACAAAAGGCAGCTGCAGTATTCACACTGTAGACTGTTCGATTTATGGGTAGTTTAAGCAGATGATCTGCCCTTAAAGTTGTCTGCTGATTTGCAATGAAGACTATACCGGAATGCATCCGAAAACCACGCAATGTGTGGGCTCTAGGCTTAACAGCAAGCAATATCGGGTAGTTTCATCACGTGTCGAAACGCAAACGCTCCTACCCAGGTGCTTGTCAGTAGTGCAATACGAGTCACCACTTCAGCAAAGGCAACTATCGCTAAGCTCCCGTACCACAGCATATTCGTGCGCAAACTATGGCGCCCATTTACCTCATTGTCGTCACAAAAGCTACGACCTTCTCCCGCGCCCTCTACAGAATCGTCTCCGCAACCCCCGAGACCCAGACATGCGTCTACCCCGAAAACAACGAGCAATTCTTCTATATCAACATACGCGTCACGCACCTTATTACCATTCGCAGCATAATGCTCAAGATGGAGATACTCAAAGAAGCCCACATCATCAGCGTCGAAATGCCCAGTCGACAAAAAACACTACCTCTGGCCGAGCAAGCGCTTTGCAACCGAGTAGATGCAGAGTATTCGGATAGGAGACTGAAGAAAGAATCTTTTGAGATGGTGTGGAGGTTCGAACAGGCAGATGAGGTGGAGGAGAAGTATAAAGACGAGGCGAGGAAAGTGAGTGTGGATATCATGGCGAGGGACTTGAAGACGACTTGGTGGGATGTATACGAGTATGATCTTGGTTAAGGGCGGGGATGGGGATTGGAGCAAGAAGGCAGTAGATTTGGTGTTGTATGGTGGAGCTTGGCTGAGGAATTAGGACGAGGTGTTGCGTGTGAAAGGTAGCTTGGATAGGATAGAGAAGAGATATCGCACTTAGACCGGAAGGCGTGATGCGTGTAGAGTGAGTCGGAAAGTGGTTCACGCTTCTGTCTTATGCGCATGATCTAGTGTAATTACAGAAGCTCTACAGAAAGTTCACAGCTCGATAAAGAAGCAGAGGTAACGTGCGGCGCTGATGTACTACCTGGGTATGCAATAGCGAACCTGGAGATGTTGGCAAGACTGTAAGACTTGGGGGCATGGAAAGTCAAATACATTAGTTTAACGAGGCCCCCACTTGAGAGAGGGGCGCTATCGTCGCCGTTCGCCGCTTGGTGTGATGCGCCTTGCTCCGGACCCGTGAGGACGGTTCACAAGACGTGGCGCATGTGCACAGCGGCTATGCAAGAAGAGAGCGGATTGGCACGGCACTTGTACTCTAGACTATAGAACTTCGTTTCGATATTCTTCTTTCAGCTTTGACGTCGAAGGATTTACTAGGGTGTCTGCCAACCGAGAAGTGGATGTTTGTCATTCGCATGCGAGAGTAGGTAACATCTCGGCTCCATCTCGGTGTAACATTACACGTCCGCCCCACCCTCTACGGTCGCGCCGCTCAAATTGCCGCTTTTGAACTCATCAACGATTTGCTCCATAGTGACCCATTCCACTCCTTCATGCCCGTTGATCCACTCGATAAGCCTCTCGTGCAGTAAGATGACCTGTGGTTTGCCGCTCACCTGCGGATGGATACCTAAAGACGAGTATACATAGTCAGTCTTTGTCACACATACAGTTCGTCCAGGGGATATTACTGACTAATTGGGAAGATGAAGCTTCCGTCATCTGGACATTCGCGATACAGAAACTCGAATTGTTCCTTCCACAGGCGCTCGATGACTGCGGTATCGACGAAGCCATGCGTGCTTGGCTGTGTAAGTGAGAGCTGGAAAGGTGGCCAATCATCCAGATGCCAATTTGCAGGTATCTCCACGACTGCAGATGGCTTCAGTGTTGACATGGGCTTCATCCAATGAGAAGCTGGCTTTGACACGTCGGTTTCTGTATATGTGCTAAGGTGTGGGGAAGGAACGTAGTAGGGCTGAGAGTCATGGTGCATGAAGGAGTGATCGTATTCCTGCAGTAGGTGTCAGCTCGTCGTTTACGCCTGATTTCAGACGTTGGTAATCTTACGATTCCGAACTCTTCGAGCAGTTTGATTGTTTCCCTACTCGTGCTCCAGGCAGGTGCAGCCCAGCCGCGCGGTTTCTTGCCTACAATGTCTGTCAAGACCTGTATGCTCTTTTCCAAGACCTCTCGTTGCTGTTGTTCGTTTAAAAGGGAGACGGATTCGTGTGTGTAGCCGTGTAGCCCGATTTCATGTCCTTTTTCGACGATTTTGCGTATCTGATGCGGAAACGACTCCGCAGAATGTGCTGGTATGAACCATGTTGTCTTGATGTTGTATTTGTCCCAAAGCCGCAGCAGACGATCAATGCCTACAGTAGCACCAAAGACACCGCGAGACACATCGGTTGGGTTGGCAGGGGCTCCAGTTTTGGTATTTAGCCTTGGTGTGCTGTTAGCTGATGCTCATGAGACACTCCAAATGAATCCAACGTGCCACCCGCTCACCTGTGTTTATCGGTAATCAGCGAGTGTTTGGAACGAACATGGCAAACCTGTTACTTACCGCGTCGATGTCAATACCATAAGAACACAGCACGCGTTTTGGCATGATTCTTGAGGCAAAACGGAAGGCAAGAAAGCCGTTGGCTATGGAGCAACTCTGGGGGGAACGATAGAATGAAGGCGAGATACAATCCCCTCTTATCGCCGATTGCCTGCCTTTTCAAACGCCATAGTCGGCGGCACAGTTGTACTTGCCATATCAGTCCGCGGCTGTTTCGATACCAAAAGAGTGGTTCAGCGTCCGTCGCTGATATACTCCGAAGCACTAAACAAGCAGGTAGTAACAGGGTTTCAACGCCGGTGGACTAGCTTGCAGTGGTCCATGAACTGCATTCGTGCTCATGCAGCGCAGTTCGCAGAGGATTAATCATTCTGCGCCTTTACAACGAATGAGAGACGAAGGAGCGCGTGGCGTAGCTCGGGACGGAATTGAGCGCTGGTCGAAGGCGGGGCATGTGCGTGGGATTGCCGAAAGCGCTGCCGCAGATGGAAAGACTTCAGCAAGGCAGCCTTCGAATAAAAGTCTAGACTGCTTCCTGTACTTCATCTTGTCTGGTATTTGTCGGATTGTCGTACACGATGCTGTTTGTCGAGTGCAAGGGCACCCCATATGAGGTAAGTGTGACACGTGACGTCATCGCTGCCACCGCGAAACACGACAGCGACCAGGATCATGCTGATCGCACACAGATTGGCTACCAACACGGTCAAGCCGCGAAACTACAGATTGCTCGTTGCATCGAGTTCTATGCGTGTCTCTTCCTCAAGAACTGCAAGAAGAGATGGCCGCAGGTCCTCCAGCACGCGTCGAGGTTTGAACAGCGAGCAAAGGCGCAATGGCCAAACTTCCACGAAGAGATGCAAGGCATTGCCGACGGCTCTGGACGAGAATTGCTAGACATCGTAGCGATAAACGTCCGGACTGAGATCAACTTTGGCTTGTTCAGCGATGGCTGCACTGCCCTCGCGTGGCACACTCAGAATCGGGCATGGTTGGCGCAGAACTGGGATGTATGTAGCACCTCTGGAAAAAAAAAAAGTACGGAAAGCGATGACCGTGTGCTGACGGTACCCAGTGGATGACCGAGCAGCAAGAGAACCTGATTGTTACTAAGATTACACAAGCGAACAAGCCCACTATTATCCAAGTAACCGAGGCAGGCATAATCGGAAAGATCGGGTTCAACAGCAGCGGCGTAGGCACGTTGTTCAACGCCATAAAAGTTCACGGCGTGGATTCTACTCGAATGCCCGCTCACTTTGGCTTGAGAATGGCACTGGAGAGCACGTCAGTCGACGAAGCAGTACACAAGCTGGAGAGTTTCGGCATGGCATCCTCAGCCCATATCCTCATAGCTGATGCAAACACGTCCTTGGGCTTAGAGTTCACCAAGAGCACTTTTGCGCACGTACTACCACACTCTAGCTCACGGGTCATTCACACAAACCATCTGTTGCTGGAGCACCCTGGCGAAATCGATACTGTATGGCTCAAGGATTCCATCACTAGGGCTCAAACAATGGCCACGAACGTTGGAGCGCTGGGCGACGACCCGAGCTGGGAAAACGTGACCCATCTGTTCGCCGACCAACAGAATGCGCCG